CTGGTGATTCCTCCTTTTCTTTCATTTGAGGGTTGTTTCTTAGTCTCCCTATTTTTTGTTGTTCTTTTGTAATTGTTTGTATGTATTTGATCAAACTGCTATGCCACCCAGATTTTTTGAATTGATCTTATGTAGTTGATGTTTTATGGGACCCAGTGGTGCAGTCTCTCAGGTCTCCTGGGCTGGGTGTTCTAGGGAGGCCCCCTACTTGAGATATTTGGGTTCTCCTGGTGTAGTTGGGTCTTGAATGTTATTGTCGCATTTGTGAATGGAATCACCTTTCAGGTGTCTGATTATGTGGCTCCCTCCCTACCATGTTGTGCCACCCATTGTGGAGGTGTTGACCAAAAAGCACAAAATACAGCACAAGACATGACACAGAATGAACAGAACACAAATATCCACAAGACACATAACCCTAATAAAAGTGACCACCAGAGAAAAGAGAATTAGGAAAGAGAAAAGAGAGCAAGAATGATAGGAAAAAAATATGGAGAGGAAACATAACAAAACAAACATAAACCAAAAAAGCACAAACAAAAAAAACACCCAAAAGGGGTGGGAGTGGGGGGGCAGAATCTGCAGGTGCAGAGCTTAAATAAACAAAATAAGATTAAGGAATTGGAGGAATAGGGGAAGGAACATGGTTTAAAATAAATGGAGAAAAGGAGAAAAGAAATGAGAAGATAATAAGATAATATGTAAATTTTAAAAGATGTGTTTGTTTATTTTTTTGAAAAGGAGAATAGAGGAGAGAGCATATAGGCCTAAATTAGGAAGTGAGACAAGTTAAAAATTTAGGGGAAGAAAAGAGCAAGAGACAAGAGAAAAGAAAAAACTGAGTCGTGAAATAAGAGAGAAGGGGAAATGGAGCAGGAGCAGGGAAGAGGAAATGAGATATATGAATAAACCAAGAGTCTAGAATAATAACATATCAATAAAGCATATAAAGAAGATCAATTTTTAAAAAGGGGGGAAAGAAAAACTAAAACAGAAAAAGGGGAAGAAAAATGGGAGGGATAAAAGAGAAGAAAAGGTAGAAACTAAAAATAAAAATCTTTTTAGATTAAAAAAAAAAGTGTTCACTTCAGCCAAGTTTTAATGCCCCATGGGAGCTGGTTTAGGACCCCCCTCTTCTGTCTGCCAATCCTGGGCTTCCTGTTAGGTACTTAGGTGCTAACCACTGTCAGGCACAGTCTTGGCTTTTAGCCCCTGCTTGAAGCTCCAAGCCATCCACCGATCCTCTTTGTGTCCGTCTCCACAGGCCTTGGCTGCCAGCAGGCGGGGCCAGTCTGTCCTCTTTGCCTGTCTGCCAACTGTCAATCTTAATCACTCAAGCGGCTGTTTCTGACACGGCTTTAGGTGGGGTTGGTGCTGTTTTGGTTTCAGGGAATAAGATGGTTGTTTTTCCCTGACCCAGAGCTACTTCTCTGCAAGTGGCTCAAAATATTACTCTACCCTTGGTTGGACGGAGATCCTTGTATGGAGACCTGGGGGTTGGCTGGCACCCTGGAGTTTATCAGTCTTCTCCCCAGAATGGTGGGGAGGACGGCCTCTCTTCCAACCCAGTCACTGAGGGCTCCTTGAAACTGCTCAGACCTGTAAGCTTGGCCTCTGCCTTCATTTCCTCTGTAAAGCTCAAAATGCAGAGTGTGACAGGCTGTGTCTCCTGCCCTGAGGCTACTGGGAGGGGTAGCTCCTCTGGGGAAAGATGGCTGCTTAGGTTTGGAAGCCTAAGAACCTCCCAGAGCAGGACCCCTGGCCACAGCTCCCTGCCCTGCTTCTCCTCAGGCACCTCAAGTCCCTGCCACCCTCCCTGCACTGAAGTGATTGCAACTGAAAAGTCCCGTGTTCTGCGTTTAGAGAATAAAAGCAAATACAAAACAAAAACAACAATGAAACCGCTGCTTTCTCTCCCCCCTGCACCACACTGCTTTTTCCTCACGGCGCAGCCTTTCGCGGCTGTGGTCTTGGGTCCAGGCTCCAAGGCAGCCAGTGGCCCTACAACTTTCCCTTTTCACAGTTGGATGTGTACAGGAGCCGGAGTGGTGGTGGAAACCCCGAGGTGCAGGCCTCAACTGGACGGGGAGGTGGAGACAACTAGAAAAGAACTCAGGCCATTTGTCAAAAATAACCCATAGGAGACAATAAGACCGAGGCAATGTATCAGGAAACTAGTAACCCCAGAGTCCTCGGCCAATGCGGAACTGGAGGAGGACTCCTGCACCTAAGGGATAAATAGCCTGTGATCGCTACTCCCTATGTGCCTCCTGCCCACAGACACCCGCTCTGAGAACATATTAAAGGTCTCATTTTCGCCATACTTCTGTCTCTGAGTCCATTGTTTTAATTTGGACAGGTGAGCATTTCTCACACTCAGACACAACTGCCAGCCAGGGAGGCAGGTCTGGGAGTCGGGAGGGCAACAAGGGTAAAAAAGATACCCTGGCTTGGTCTCCATGGCTCAGAGTGATTGTGCCTGCAGGCCTTAAAAAACAGCTGGCTAAATTTGGTCCACTGGCTATCGTTTGCCATCCCTTGTTTTAGACAGTTAATAATAGTAGAGCAGTTTTCAACCTTTTTCATTTCGTGGCACACAAAAGCTAATTACTAAAATTCTGCAATACACCAAAAACGTTACTTTTTTTTTTTTTTTTTTTGCCAATCTGACAAAAAAAAGTATAATTTTGATTCCTTCACACTGAGCGGCTGTTGTCATTTTTTTTTTTTTTAATTTTACAGTCTGAGGGAAAAGAGGTCAGTGTCCCTGACTAAATAGTCAGGTATTGCATGATTTAAAAGTTCTGTGGCACACCGGTTGAAGATCGCTGACGTAGTGGATTACTGAACTGATTCATTTCCAAATATTGAGCCAGCTTTTCATTCATGAGATAAACCGTACGTGATTATGGTATATTATTATTTTTACAGATTGCTGGATTTCTCTTACTAATTTTGTTCATGAGGGATATTGATCTGTGATGTTTTGTATTTTATACTCTTAGATTTTGGTATCAGGGGAATGCTAGCTTCATCTAATGAGTTGGGAAGTGTCTCCTGTTTTCAAGGAGAGATTATGTAGCTAACTGGTGTTATTTCTTATTTAAATATTTGTAGAATTTACTAGTACAGCCATCTGAGTGTGCATATTGTTTTGAAGTGTTTTTTAAACTATGGCTTCAATGTATTTCATACTTAAGGACTATTTAGATTATCTATTTTATTTTAGGTAAAGGTTGGTGTTGGGTTTTGGAGGAATTGATTCCTTTCATCTAAGTTGTTGATTTATATGTACAGCGTTTTTCATATTATTACCTTAATATCCTTTTAATGTCTGTAGTGTCTGTTGTGATAGCCTCTCTCTCATTCCCGATTTTTATTTTTCTCTTTTTTTCTTTGCCATTCTTGGTAGAGGTTTATCAAGTTCATTGATCTTCTTGAGAAAAACAACACAGTTTTCAGTTTGATTTTTCTCATTGATATTTGTTCTTTTGACTTGAGTCCTATCTTCATTTCTAATAGAAGCATCTAATGCTATAAGCCACTGCTTAGCTGCACTGTACAAATTTTATTATATTTTCTTTTTAAAATTTTTTTATTTATTAAGAGTGAGAGAGATCAATTTGTTGTTCCACCTATCCATGCACTCACTGGTTGACTCCTGTGTATGTCTCGACCATGTAGACACACAACCTTGGTGTATGGGGACAGCACTCAAACCAACTGAGCTATCCCAGGGCTGTTTTCTTTAACATATTTTTCTAATTTCCCTTGAAACAGCATCTTTGATCCATGGGTTATTTACAAGTATTTTGTTTAATTTCCAATGTTTAGAGATGCTTCTGTTTTCTTTCTGTTATTTGTTTCTAGTTTAATTCTTTTGTGCTCTGAAAATATGTTATATGATTTTAATTATTTTAAATTTATTGAGGTTTGTTTATGACCCAGGAGTGTGATCTATCTTGGTGACTGTTACATGTGTCCTTCAAAAGAATGTCTGTTCTGTTGTCATTTTCATTGTCGCCAGGTGGAATATTCTACATAAATGTCAATTAAATTATATCCAGTTGGTTGATGGCATAGTTCAGTTCTTCTGTATCTTTGCTAATATTCTGCCTAATAATTCTGTATATTCCTGAAAGAAGAATACTGAGGTTTCCATATGTAATTGTGGATTTGTCTATTTCTCCTTTCAGATTCACCAGCTTTTTCTTTTAACTATTTTGAAATTCTATTGTTAGGTGTTTATTCATTTAGAATTGTGTTCACTTAATGAATTGATCCTGTATCATTATATAATGTACCCTTTTATCATTGGTAATTTTCTTTACTCTGAAGTTTACTATGTCTTATATTAATATAACCATTTTGACTTTTCTTAGTACTTTAAGACACACGACATTGCAAAAAACAATGTGCTCACAAGTACCCTTCACACCATTGTACATTTCTGGTTTTAAAACCAGGAAATTGGCATTGACACAATATTATCAACTAAACTACAAATCTTTTTTTGCTTTCACCCATCTTTTAATTGAAATTTCTATTGAGATAATTTAGGTTGACACGCAGTTGTAAGACATAATAAAGACATACATCGTGTACACTTTGTCCGCTTTCTCCAAATGGTAACACATTGCAAAGCGATGGTATAGTACAAGCAAGGCATTGGCATTTATACAACCCACTGACCTTCATCACATTTCTTTAGTTTTACTGGTACTCAGTTGTGAATTAAGTGCTATACAATTTTATCACCTGCGTAGATTCATTTACCCACTACAACAGTCAATGAACAGATATTGACAATTCTTGCCCATTTGTAACCACACTTACCTTCCTGCCGCTCCCTCACCCCAACCCTAACCTGTTAGGACCATTGATCTGTTGTCCATTTCTATGATTTTGTCATTTCTGGAATGTTACATAAATAGAAACTTACCACATTACACCTTTTGGAATTGGCTCCCCACCCCCACCCCCCGCCCCCATGCCTCAAAATTCCCTGGCTATTCATCCAAATTGTGTTTAGTTTGCCCATCTAATTACTGAGTAGTATTTTATGGTATGTATGTGTCACGATTTGATTAGTCACTTACCTGTTGAAGGACATTCGTGTGATTATATTTTTGGCTACTGCAGATAAAGCTGCTGTGCGCATGTGTGTAGGTTTTTGTGTGGACATAGGTTTCCTTTTCTCTGGGATGCATGCCCAGAAGTTCAAATGCTGAGTCAGAAGGTCAGATGGTAGTTGCATATTTTCATCAGTGTTTGCATGCAGTGTGTGTGTGTGTGTGTGTGTGTGTGTGTGTGAGAGAGAGAGAGAGAGAGAGAGAGAGAGAGAGAGAGAGAGAGAGAGAGAGAGACTATGAAATCATATCCCTTGTATAGATTTGTATAGATTCTGGTAACTGACTGTAGTCAGAATGCAGAACTGGCCCACCTGTGTCCCTCCTCTGTACTAGTCAGATCCTTCCTCCAACCCTAACCACTGAATATGTTCTCTCTTCCTAGAATTTTGCCTGTTATAAATAGAGCTGCTGTGAACATCTGTCTATAGGCTTTTGTGTGGATACATTTTCATTTCTACAGGATGAATTCCCGGGAGCACGATGTCCAGGTCATATGGTGGTTGTATGTTTAGTTTTTAAAAAGACTCCCCAACTCTTCTAGAAGAGTGACTGTACCGTTTTCTCTCCTACCAGTAACTTGTAAGAGATGCAGTTGCTCCCCATTCTCACTAGCACTTGATATTGTCAGCATTTTTATTTCTTAATCCTCACCCAAAGATATGTTTCTATTGATTTTTAGAAGGAGGACGGGGGAAAGAAGAGAGAGAAACATCGATGTGAGAGAAACATCAATCCTCCCGTGCGTGCCCTGACCAGGGATCGAAACCGCCACCCAGGCACGTGCCGGCCACTTTTCAGTGTGTGGGATGGCGCCCCACCCCACTGAGCCGCCAGGCCAGGGCAGTATTGTCAGTATTTTTAAATTTTATCTATTCTGCTGGTTGGGTAGTGGTATCTTATAGCTTTAATTTGCATTTTTCTAATAGCCTCAGCTTGCCTTTGATAAATGTTCCCATGATGTCTGATAGTGGGCAAAGGTGTTACGGCCACGGGAATGAGTGAGTGCCTCCGGAATGACAAACGAAGCAGGCACCTCCACAGAATATGACAGTTTATCGTAAGGTAATTTACCTACAGGAAGACTGGGTTGGAGGGGAACAGAAGACCCAGCAATTTTGCACAGATTAATCTCTGCTAACAGACCTGTTACAGTACTTTTTTTATACTATAACTCAGGTACTGATGATTGACAAAGAGACAACCACCTCCTGGTGGTCTTGTGATTGATGATGGCTTATAATCAATACTTTCACCAGTTTTGATACTAGACACTGGGTCCGAGGCTGCCTGTCACTACTTGAGTGAAATGAAGCACAGATAGGGCTGAATCATATCTGAGCATTTGTTCCAATAATGCCACCAGTGTGGGGAGAGCAGCAGGTCATCCTGGAAATTCTGTTCTGATCCGCCCTTGTCACTGGCTGAGGGAAAAGGGGCTGTGAGTGTGGGCTGTGAGCTGAGTGTGGGCTGTTGGCTGTGTGGGCTGTGAGGGCTATGGGCTGTGAGTGTGGGCTGTTGGCTGAGTGTGGGCTGTAGGCTGAGTGTGGGCTGTAGGCTGAGTGTGGGCTGTAACAGGAGAGGAGGGGAGGGTCTGTAGCCTTGCCTACCTGTATCATAATTAAAGCTTCCCCTGTAAACCACATACAATTGTTTCACTTAAAAAATATGGATTCTAGCCCTGGCCGGGCAGCTCCGCTGGTTGGAGTGTTGTCCCGTACACCAAAAGGTTGCAGGTTCGATCCCTGCTTGGGGCACATACAGGAGACAAGCAATCCATTTCTCTCATATCAATGTTTTTCTCTCTCAATCGTTCGCTCTCTCTAAAACCAGTAAACATATACTCTGGTGAGGATTAACGTATTATATCCGTATTGTGGAAATCTCCGTATTGTTTATTATTTGTAAACACCACTTGAGGATGTTTATTGATGTGATAGGGAGGGGGAGGGGAGAGAAATGTTGTCCCCCTAATTTTGCATTCATTGGTTGGTTCTCATCCGTATCCTGACCGGGAATCCCACCTGCTGCTTGGCGTACTGAGACAATGCTCTAACCAACTGAGGTAGCCGGCCAGGGTGGAGGTACCATGTTCTCATTGTGCTGAATTATTTCTCTGCCTGGACATTTGTGGGAATGAAACTTTAAGGATTTTACACTTCAGTGTATAGGCTGATAGGAAGAAGTTTCTATTCCAGGAGGTGGTGCTGAAGCACAGCTTTTTTTTCTCTTACTTGCTCTGCTGGGGCTTCTGGGATCCCTGTGGGCGTGTTGGCTCTGCCATGGAACAAGCCCCGTCCTCCCTGAGGAGGGGGTGTCCTTTTACAATCGAGTCACCTCATTCTAAGGTGACAACCCACCACTCCTGTGGATTGAAGTTTGGGGCTTTGGGCCTCCTGTGTATTCCCAGCACTGCCTTCCTGTTAGGCCGAAGCCACTGGCAGAGCCACACTGAGTGGACCAGGCTGCCCCCCGCCCCCCCAGTCTGCACCTTGACGGGTGGGGGAGGGGTTGGCAGGAGAAGAAGGATCACACATCCGCAGCTCTGTCCTTCCTAGGACACTGTTTAGCCACAGTGAGGACAGACCCCTTGGATGGAAAGTTTTCAGCACTCTGTCTACCCAGCAGGCCACGGGGGTGGGGTGGGTGGGTTTTCATGTCTGAAGTCCTCTGTCTGGTGGTGCTAGCAGGCTGTGGGGCGCTACACCCTCTGCACTGCTTCTCTGATCTTGACCCTGTGTCCAGTCTCAATGTGTGCCAGCCCCCCAGGCCCCATCGTTGTCCCTGCCCCTCTGGTTTGCCCAGTGGGAGTTGACCCCCGTCCTTGAATGCCATTGTGTCTACTGGGGGCTTCAGCAAGTGCTAGACTGGGCACAGCTTCTGTCCCTGGCCTTCGCCCCCCCTCCCCTCGCACCATCTCCACGGTTCACTCAGGTGTGTCCCCTCATTTCAGTGTGCAGCTCTCAGACATGAGTATGTTGAGCAGGAAATCCTTTGTGAATTATAGGGGTCCAGCATGTTGTAACTTCAAGAAGAGACCACCACCCCACCACATTTTTCGTGCCTGTATAATATTCAAACAAAATTTAAATATTTTACAGATACTTATTTCCTTTTATTGAATTCAGTATAAACATCGTTGTGTATGATCTAGCTTTTTCTATAGTCCCCTAAGCAAAACCTCTAGTGCTAGGGTAGGTGGGTCAAAGGATATTTTGATACGTACTGACCAGCTAATGTTGTCCACTTCGACCGAGAAAGCATTGAACATGGAATGCTGTGAAAATGACAATTTACCTAAACTGTTACAGTTAGTGAAATTTCAATAAAAATTTAAAAAAACTTTCTTATCCTGCTTCCCCCTCCCCATTTTAGCAGGAAGAATGAGGGTGGAATGTGACAAAGTGATGTCCATGAAATCTACCAAGGCCCCTGCCTTAAAAGTTACGATGGATGAAGAGCTAAGCATAGGCACTTTGACCTAAGTTTGCATGAAAATGAGAAGAAACCGATTACTCACAGTTCAAGTTCACCAAAACTTTCTGTCATTAGTAACTACTTTTAACATTTTCAAAGAGTTACAGTAAAACTGTACCCTAATGAATTAGGGATCAAAATTTATAATTGTATAAATTCAGTATCATGTTAATAGATTAATAAAAACCAGTACTTTTCAGTCTATAAAATACAAACCAATGATTAAGTATTATACTGTACAGACAGATAATACACTGTACAAAAAACTGAGGCTGAATGGGGGATGGGAGCCATTCAGAAGTCTTGTTGAAATTAATTTGTGTTACTGTGGATGGCAGCATTACAGGATTCTTTTTGCATATGCTGTTATGAATTTAAGGTAGGGAACTGACTAGAATTTTCAAATACTTGTCATTATAGTGGTTTTCTCTACTTTGTTCAGTAATTGATGGGCACCTCATACAAGCCAAGCAGTTCTACAAGGTAGACATACCGGTAGTGGTGAAAAACACCTCTATTACATGGAGGTTACATTGTAGTTGGCTTAAATTTTATTTGTCCGTCAAATCTGCCACATATACTTTTGTTCGAGTGCTGCACATAATCTCCATTCATACGCCCTCTTCTGGGTGACTCCAATGAAATGTACGATCCTTCTGTTGTGTTCTTCGGAACCGGGACATTGAAAACTCTGGTGTAACCATTTACCATTTTATGAAACCAGTTTCTCTCATGTGAAATCTGACGTTTACAAAGAATTCATCCCCCCAACTGCGTTGTTGAGTCACGTCTTATAGAGCTGCTTTCCCGCGGCCATTCCTCGAGGCTCCTGAGTTCTGAAGGAGCTTTCCACGTTCACCAGCACAGACTCTCTCATGGGGACCAAGATGTGAACTCAAACTACAGGCCATGTCGCACCTCGCATGCCTACAGGTCCCCTCCAGTGTGGATTCTCTGATGATATACAAGATGCGATCTCTGGCTGAAGCCCTTACAACATACGTCACATATGTAAGGCCTCTCTCCAGTGTGGACCCTCTGATGTGTGTGGAAATGGGAGGCCTGACTGAAGCCCTTACCGCACTGCTGACACGTGTAGGGCTTCTCTCCGGTGTGGACCCGCTGATGAGCACTGAGCCCAGCACTCCAGCTGAATTCCTTCCCACACTGCTCACATTTAAATGGCTTCTCCCCGGTGTGAATGATCTGATGGACTTGAAGATTTGACCGCTGGCTGAAGGCCTTACCGCAGGTATCGCATTTATAGGGCTTCTCTCCGGTGTGCACTCTCTGGTGGGCCTGAAGATGTGAAGACTGGCTGAATCGCTTCTGACACGCGTCACATTTGAATGGTTTTTCCCCAGTGTGGACACTCTGATGAGCTTGGAGATTTGAGGCCTGGCTGAAGCCCTTCCCACACTCTTCACATTTGTAGGGCTTCTCTCCTGTGTGGACTCTCTGGTGATTGTGAAGATTCAAGCTCCAGTTGAAGCGCTTCCCACACACCTCACATTTGTAGGGTTTCTCTCCAGTGTGGACTCTCTGATGGGCTTGAAAATATGAACTCTGACTGAAGCCTTTGCCACACACATTGCATCGAAACGGTTTCTCTCCCGTGTGAACCCGCTGATGGCTCTGGAAACTTGAGGCTGAGCTAAAACCTTTCCCGCACTCTTCACATTTATATGGTTTCTCTCCCGTGTGGACTCGTTGGTGACTGTGAAGATTGAAGCTCAAACTAAAGCACTTCCCACACTCATCGCACCTGTACGGCTTCTCCTCAGTGTGGACTCTCTGATGGGTGTGAAGATTTGAGCTACAACTGAAGCGTTTACCACAATCTGCACATTTATATGGTTTCTCTCCCGTGTGGATTCTTTCGTGGGCCTGAAGATGTGATCTCTGTGTGAAGCCCTTTCCGCAAATCTCGCATTTGTAAGGTTTCTCTCCAGTGTGGACTCTGCAGTGAATATTAAGATCTGTGCTACGACTGAAGCCCTTCCCACAACTTTGGCATCGATAGGGCTTCTCTCCTGTGTGAATAGGCAAGTGAGCGTACAGATGTGAGGTCTGATTAAAGCTCTTCCCACACTCTACGCATGAATAGGGTTTCTCCCCTGTGTGGACTCTCTGATGAGTTTGCAGATTTGAGCTCTGACTAAAACACTTTCCACACTCATGACACCAATAACGTTTTTTTCTTGCGTGAACGTATTGTTGAAGGGGAATGGCTGAGCTATAACTGGTATTCTCACGTGTACTACAGTTAAGGGACTTCTTTGCCAAGTGTGACTGCTGATGAACTTCAAGTCTGGAGCTATCGCTGAATACTTTTCCACATTCACTACACTGGTAGGTTTTCTGTCCCGTGTAGATTATACTGAGCTGGGCAAGAGATGATACATTTGAGATATCTTCACCACAATCTTTGTTGCTGTGAGCTTTCTCTCTTTTGTGTACTATATCATCATCATGGTGGTGTGAATTACAACTGAAGATGTTAGCACATGGAGCAAATATACATAACTTGTTTTTCACTGGCATCTGCTTACAACTTCTCTGATAATTCTGTGTCTCGTTCAGGTATATGTTACTCCGAGAATTCTGAGCTCTCCCTGTTGTAAACGCTTGACTTTCATTAATACTGGAATGATCCTCTGTAGGACTCATTACACAGCTGTCTTCCTGAATAGAGATTCCTGCCCCCACCTGACCGGGGGAATTAAGTTGTTTGGGGAGCTGAGAACTCTTTTCTTGAACATGTAGCATGGAGACTTGACTTTTCGTTAATTTACTCACAACATGTCTCCTGATTTGCCAGCAGGAGAGCTCTCCCAAAGAAAGGCACCTTCCTCCCGCTTCACCAAGAGTCTCCATCTCATTTTCATTCCTGCCTCCTGAAAAAATCAAGGACAGATAGTGACATCAGCAAGAAAGCGGGCTGGGAAGCCCCCAGTCCTTGTTCCCCCACTGAAATATAAAACCACTCGAGACCAGCAAAAACAACTGCGAGATTCCTGAAAAACGGTCAGAGCAAACAAGAGAGCATCCAACTGAGAAAAAGCCACACTTAAAATGGCATTAAATTTGGTACCACCTCAGGCTGAGCATTGATGAGATTCATTTAGAACTACAGGTCTAATAGGGTAGGAGGTCGATATCAGCCAGCTGCAGAGCAACATAAAAACATCCCTGGGAGTTTTCAGAAAAGGAGAAACTGATTTTCTTGCCTATAAAAATGGTAAATTAAAAGTCTCCTCTTCAGCTATAGCTACTGATTCAGAGTAGTACCTACACAAATCAGCTAAATATATGCCTCAACTACAGTCCTTCACTGTATAACTTGCACACCTGGAATTGGTGTTCAAATTCACTTTCTCAATAAATAGCAAAATAAGTAGAAACTGAGTGAAGATATAGAAAACTTGAACAATACTATCAACCAACATCAGATAACACTCTTTTCAGGTGCACATGGAACCTATTCCAAAAGATACCATATTCTGGATCAAGAAACGAGTTGTAACAATTGCAAAAGGTCTCAAGTCATACAAATTATGCTCTAACCACAACTGAATTAAATCAGAATGAAGACACTACTAAATAAACCTCATCACAAAACAAAGAGACATTATAAAGGGCATTTTGAACTAAATGATAATGAATTTGTGACTTGCTACTAAAAGAGTACTTAAAGGGACATTTATACGCAACACAGGTCTCCAAGAAACTAGAAAAACAAGAGCACATTAAACCAAAGTAAACGGAAAACACACACACACACACACACACACACACACACACACACACACACACACACCCAGAGTCAGGCATCACTTAAAGGGATATATTTTGAGAGATGGGTATGTCATTATATAAACATCACAGAGTGCACTTACAGGAATCTAGCTAGGCTGTATGGTATAGCCTATTGCTCCTATGCCACTAACCTGCACAGCATGTTCTTATACTGAATAGTGTAGGTAATTATAGTACAACTAGAGGCCTAGTGCACGAAAATTCATGCACTCAGGGGGTCCCTCAGCCTGGCCTGCGCACTCTTGCAGTCCCGGACCCCTTGGGGGATGTCCGACTGACGGGTTAGGCCCGCTCCCCCAGGGGCCTAAACTGGCAGTCAGACATTCCCCTGGCAGTCCAGAAGCCTTCGGGGGATGTCCAACTAATGGCTTAGGTGAGTTAAGGATGTGGAGAGTAAAGAGAAGACAGTATTTTATTTTTAAAATATATTTTTATTGATTTGAGAGACAGGAAGGGAGAGGGAGAGAGAGAAACATCGGTGTGAGAGACATCAATAGGTTGCTTCCCAGTCTGGGGATCGAACCAACAACCGGGGTATGTGTCCTGACTGGGAATTGAACTGGGAGGACGACACTCAACCAGCTGAGTCACACCGGCCAGGGTGGAACACGGGAAGTGAGTGGTCACAGAAGGACTTGGATGAAATGGCTTCTGAGCAGAGACGTGAGTGAGTAAGAGAGTGGTTGGAGGTTTATGGGAAAGCAGCATTCCAGCCAGAGAAAAGGAAGTAAAAGACCCTGATGCAGAAGCATAATCGCCAAATGTCAGGAACAAGTCAAGCTGGCAGCATCAAAGGGAGGGAAATGAAAGGAGAAAAATGTACAGTGGTACAGCCAGGTGAATGGGCCGACATGACAGGGCCTTCCTGGCCCCTTCAATACGTTGGGTGCTGTTTGGAGGGAAACGGAAAGCCAGTGGAGGCTGTGAAGCAGAGGAGAGACAGAATGTGACTGATGTTTGTTTTTTATTTATTGATTTTAGAGAGAGACAGAGAGAGAGAGAGAGGGACATCAATTTGTTCTTCCACTCATGTAGACTTTCATGGGCTGATTCTTACATATGCTCTGACCTGGGATTGAACCCACGGCCTTGGTGTTTCCGGACGATGCTCTAACCAACTGAGCTACCTGGCCAGGGTCTGTGACTGGTGTTTTCAAAGGGTCTCTCAGGTCGCCTTGTGGAGAACAGATCACCCAGAAGAGAGACAGAATAATGGGCTCTTACCTTCAAGGACTCTGGCTGCACAATTCTCTGCTGAATGCCCACCTCTTTGACGTTGTATCTCCGTCATCCAAAGCTGCTCCTCTCTCTCCAACTGGGATATCACATCTGGTTTAGAGAAGAGATGCCCTGTGAAAAGACAAGATTTAAGTGGGACATTAAAGGTAAAAAGTACTAAAACAAATTGGGGTTCCAATCCTATGATGGAAGGCTCTACCCCTCCTCCAACAGAGTGTTTATCAAACATTTTGATGCAACTTACTAAATTAATTTCATGACTCAGCAGTGGGTCATGACCCACAGGTTTAATAAAAGATATATGAGCCCTGGCTGGTGGAGTGTCGTCCTGTACGGGTTCGATTCTTAGTCAGGGCATTACCAAGACTGTGCATACGGGGGTGGGAGGGTGCAACCAATGTTTCTCTCCTCTCTCCCTCTTGCTTCTTCTCTCTCTAAAATCAATAAAAACATGTCCTCTGGTAAGGATTTAAAAAAAGATATGTGGAATAAGGAGCCAGGTACAGATAAGCTCAACTGTTCATTTATAGTTAATTTACAAAAGACAAGTGTTTGCCTTGGAACAAAGACTAGAAACCTCTTGTCTCTACGTTCCTAATAGACTGGAGAACTGGTCTCTGCGGGGTCCTGAAGCCGTGAAGTAGTGGGCAGAGGCCAGGGATGCTAGCAAACATCCTACAATGCACAGACAGTCCCCACAACAATTACCTGGCCCACAGTGTCAACAGTGTCAACTGAGAAACCCTGCTCAATGGACGAAGCCACGTTACAGAGGGCACCCGTCCTCACCCACTGAGACCAGGTTCCGGAAGTTCTCCAGGGTCACGTCTCGGTACAGCTTCCTCTGGACAGAGTCCAGCAGCCCCAGCTCCTCCTCGCTGAAGACCACAGCCACGTCCTGGAACGTCACCGGCTCCTACAACACCGAACACATGTAACCTCTGTTTCACATCTGGGAGGAGGGCAGCACTGAGAAGGTGGAGGAGATATGTAGGACGTGTTCCAGACTCTACGGGACCCAGAACTCATTTTAGTAGAGTTTCTCCTCCTCCCTTTCCACAATCACACCATAAAGGGAGGGAGAGGAAGAAACTAAGAGAAACATAAAAAAATCTTGTGCACATTTAACACGGTGCCCTTTATGTCCTTAAATGAAGCCTCTAGAGCCCAGGCCGGGTAGCTCAGTTGGTTAGAGCATCACCCCAAAAAGCCAAGGTTGCAGGTTCAATCCCTGGTCAAGGCACATACAAGAATCAACCAGTGCCCTGACCGGTTTGGCTCAATGGATAGAGTGTCAGCCTGCGGACTCAAAGGTCCCAGGTTCGATTCCAGTCAAAGGCATGTACTTTGGTTGCAGACACATACCCAGTAGGGAGTGTGCAGGGGGCAGCTGATTGATGTTTCTCTCTCATCCATGTTTCTAACTCTCTATCCTTCTCCCTTCCTCTCTGTAAGAAATCAATAAAATATATTTAAAAAAAAGAAAGAATTAACCAGTGAGTAGATAAGTAAGTGGAACAAGTTGATGTTTCTTTCTCTCTTTCTCCGCCCCCCCAAATCAATAATAAATAAATAAATAAAGCCTCTAGAACAGTCACTGTTAAATCATGGCATACACGTTTTACAATTAGACTGGCAGTGCCAGATGTTGTACGGAACTGAGTTAATTTAGATCCAACAGTACGTAATAGAGCCTATCTCCTCCTCTCCCTGGGTATACCACCATTTCGTCAATGTCTGCCAGTCGCACAGGCTTCCAGGACCCCTCTGGAGCAGGTATGTAACGCATTCTCTGTCCGTGGGAACATGCTGGGTCTGCCAACAGCAGCAGTATTCCTGGCAAGGTTAAGGGCACAGGCTCTGGAGACGAACTGCCTCAGTTCACACTCCAAGGCTCTGTCCACTACTAGCCCTGTCACCTTGGACAAGTCACCTAACTTCTCAGTTTCCTCATGTGTATACCAGGACATCACAGGGCACTGGAAAGGATTCATGAGGACATGTACAGGATTTAGGACGGTACCCGACACATGTGAAGTACACAATAAATGTCAGCCATCACTATTATTACTATCAGTAGTCAGGGCTGCCAGGTGTTTCATAAAAGTGATGATCTATAATATATTTAACCACACCAAATAACCAAATAATGCAATAATGTAAAATTTTAAATGATTGATAATGCTGCACACAACATATTTTTACATAGATCTCAGCCAGCTGGTCTGGTCTTCCCTTAGGTCAGTGGTTCTCAACCTTCTGGCCCTTTAAATACAGTTCCTCATGTTGTGACCCAACCATAAAATTATTTTCGTTGTTACTTCAGAACTGTAATGTTGTTACTGTTATGAATCGTCATGTAAATATCTGATATGCAGGATGGTCTTAGGCGACCCCTGTGAAAGGGTCTTTCGACCGCCAAAGGGGTCGCGACCCACAGGTTGAGAACCGCTGCCTTAGGATCAGTTCCAAGAAGTGGCCATTGTATTGCCAAAAAATATGCACCTTTGTTTTGCTAGTATAATGCAATTATCCCAATTAACTTTTCCTTTGAGAGATTAAAAGAGCTCTGATTCTCCATACTCCAGCCAAAACTCAACATTATCTTATTTTTTTAGTCAACGGTAAAAACAGTTCTTTTTAAAAATTCCCATTTATTTAACTTTTTAAAAGATTATTTTTGGCCCTAGCTGGTTTGGCTCAGTGGATAGCCTGCAGACTGAAGGGTGCTGGGTTCAATTCCAGTCAAGGGCACATGCCTGGGTTGTGGGCTCCATACCCAGTGGGGGGTGTGCAGGAGGTAGCCAATTGATGATTCTCTCTCATCATTGATGTTTCTATCCTTCCCTTCCTCTCTGAAATCAATTTTTTTAAAAATATATTTCATTGATTTTTTACAGAGAGGGAGGGAGAGGGATAGAGAGCCAGAAACACCGATGAGAGAGAAACATCGATCAGCTACCTCCTGCATGCCCCCCACTGGGGATGTGCCCGCAACCAAGGTACATGCCCTTGACCGGAATCGAACCCGGGACCCTTGAGTCCGCAGGCCGATGCTCTATCCACTGAGCCAAACCGGTTCTTGAAAACAATTTTTTAAAAAAACCATCTTTGGGCATGTTTTTTACATATTGCCTGTTCACTTCATTTGCTCATATCCTCATGCATCAGGAAGATTCCTATTGCGAACATTAAGCCTTTTTCTTGCGTTCATAAATCCTCAGCTTCACCCCCACCACTATTTCCTATTTGTCTCATAACTTTGTGTATGTCATTTTACTTTTTCTTCATATCTTCAAAAACTGATTTCAGAGAGAGGAAGGGAGAGGGAGAGAGAGAGAGAAACACTGATGAGAGAGAAAATCGATTGGCTGCCTCCTGCACGGCCCCTATTGGGGATGGATCCCACAACCCAGGCATGTGCCCTGACAGGGAATTGAACTGTGACCTCCTGATTCATGGGGTGACCTCCTCATTCATGGGTCAATGCTCAACCACTGAGCCACACTGGCCGGGCTTTTATTCTTTTTTAACCCTCACCCGAGAACATGCTTACAGAAGGAATGGAGAGAGAGGGAGGAGTGGGGATGGAGAGAGAGAGAGAGAGAAGCATCAATGTGAGAAACATCTACTGGTTGCCTTCCATATATATGCCCCAAGCAGGGCTCGAACCTGTGAACTGAGTAAGTGCCCTGACCTGGAATCAAACCGGTGCACAGGACGATGCTCAACCAACTGAGATACTCCAGCCGGCCTATGGCATTTTTCTTTATGGAAATTAAAATTATGTATCTAAAGACTTTGCTCATCTCTGTATTTCATTTGACTGGAGTTCTGAGCATCTGTGTACTGAAGAACCCGTTGACACATGTGGGGAAGAGACAGGTGCTAAGAAAGCTGCCCCAAGGGAGGGGCAATGCTATTTTTGGAGTCCGTCATCCACCAGGCATGCCAGGTATCCAGGCAGCGTGGCCTCGGGCCCTCGATAAAGCAGTCTCGTTTCGCCTGCGTCTCTCCATTTACCTTAGCTGGATTCCTGAAACTCCTGGCTCAGGTAACTGAACCTTTAGTGTGTAAAAATAACTTAAACAGATCCACTTCAGAATGGAATCGGAGCAGCCATCAGAGGAACTGCTTTGTAAGTTTTGCTTCTCAAGCCTTTGGGATGTTACAGGAGGCAACATAACCTTTGCGCTGGGCCAGACGCAGCACTGTATCTCAACATCTGTTGGCAAAGCTAGCAGGAAAGCAGACATTCTTTTTTATTTTTTATTGATTTGAGAGAGAGAAGCGTCGATTTGTTCCACTTATTTATACATTCATTAGTTGCTTCTTATACGTGCCCTGACTGGGGATTGAACTGGAAACCTCGGTGTATCGGGACTACACTCTAACACCTGAACTAACTGGCCAGCCCAGACACTCTACAATTAGTATCACTGCGTTCTCCTGTCTGCACCTGCAGACATCTCTCCTTAGCTTATTAACACCCATAGAAACTCCCTCCTTCTATTCGTGTAATTATTCCCCTTCCTTTCTCATAAATATCCCTTCCCTTGGTCTCCTAATGGGAACAATATCTGGGATTCTGCCTGAATCTCTGCTTCCCCAATACCTATTTCTTTTGGATCTCAAACGAAAGTTTGCTGCCTCTCACTTTGGCCTTTTATTTTTAGGTTAACAGGTGTCAGCCGGGGTCTGCGTGGACTTCAGTAGGTATGTGAATGTTCACAAATCTGTTTATGTTAAAATACGAATAAACCCTGGCCAGGTAGGTCAGTTGGCTAGAGTGCTCCCCCCTACCCCCCAATACACTAAGGTTGCAGGTTCAATCCCCAATCAGGGCAGATACGAGAATCAACCAATAAATGCATAAATAAGTGGAACAACAAATCAATGATTTCTCTCTCTCCTCCTCTCTCTAAAATCAATCAATAAAAATAAAATGCAAACAAGACCATCTATATATATCCTCACACAGCTATTCCACAGAATAAAGGCCTGGCAAGTCCCTGGTGCTGCTAGACCAAGGATGTACTTCTTTAAAATATACTAACAAGTCAATGAAAAAAACCCAGAAACTTAACTATAATGCATACATGGTTTAACTTAGAATTAAAGAAAGAATGTAGCTCTTCTTGTTTGAAAACTAAAATTCTTTTCTCTGAGTTCAGTATCATCTGGACTTGGTTGCACCAAGATATACTTTAGATATTTTTTCCCACAAAATGTGAGGCACCATGTATCAGAAAACAGTCCCTACAACTTTAAGGAGGGGAAAAAAAATGGAATTCTCAGAAATTCTGTTTGGGGAAAAAAGGTTTTATGTTGGAAAACTGTCATTGCAAACAACTTTAAAATGGTAAAATTCATAAAACACAAAAGTAGAGGAAAATATTAGGTGCAGACAAAAAGAGGCAACATACTAAACCTGACAAGCTCAGGGGAGGCCTGCATGGCAGCCTTAAAAACTCAGAGACCGAAAGCAACCACAAAGGATGGTCTCCCTAAAATTAAAACTTTTTAACTAAAAGCAGTTTATGGCAGGTAGTCATGTCCTAGGCTAGAATCTTCCCTGACAAAAGTCAATCTTTACCTTAATTGAGCCTGTCTACTGTCTTTTTGCATCTGCAATAACACACCTTTGCAATGTCAAAGCACAGGCACTGCACCAGATCGGACACCACAAATCCCCTCACTGCTATTAACTGCTGACCGTTAACTATCCTGCACCCACCTACGTAAAAGAAGTATGTGTCTATCATTTTACTTCCAATCCCAGAGGTTCCCCCCACTGCCCCCCCTCCCACTTTACTTTCTCCCACCTCCCTAAACTGTCACCAGTGGCTTCATGTAACCCACTTACATCTTCTCTTTTTCTTGTAATGTATAAAATAAGGTGCAAAACTGCCATTTTCTAGAGCAGCGGTTCTCAACCTGTGGGTCGCGACCCCTTTGGCGGTCGAACGACCCTTTCACAGGGGTCGCCTAAGACCATCCTGCATATCAGATATTTATGTTACGATTCATAACAGTAGCAACATTACAGTTATGAAGTAGCAACGAAAATAATTTTATGGTTGGGTCACATGAGGAACTGTATTTAAAGGGCCAGAAGGTTGAGAACCACTGCTCTAGAGCATTTTCTCAATCTGTTGAGATTTTATTTCCCAGCAATTGTTGACAGGTTCGGCTCAAACACAAAAATTCTTCACAGGCTTGAATGTTTCTTACATTGACTTAGGTATACGGTGGAAAATGATGTGGCCATTTAAGTCACAGGTGATATAAAATTAAACTTTGAAAAAATCCAAAATGGTAAGCTGAGATTACAAATATATATATGTGTAAATACAAATGAAAAAGATATGTGGAAAAATAAACAACAAATTAGTAAACGTGTTTATAGAGTGGGAGTTGTTTTTTTTATTTGAAATAAATACCTGCCGAAACCGGTTTGGCTCAGTGGATAGAGCGTCGGCCTGCGGACTGAAAGGTCCCAGGTTCGATTCCGGTCAAGGGCATGTACCTGGGTTGCGGGCATATCCCCAGTAGGAGATGTGCAGGAGGCAGCTGATTGATGTTTCTCGCTCATCAATGTTTCTAACTCTCTATCTCTCTCCCTTCCTCTCTGTAATAAATCAATAAAATATATTTTTAAAAAAATAAAATAAAATAAAATAAAATAAATACCTATTGGGAGATTCCAAAATGGCGGCTGAGTAAGTGGATGCTACTCTGACACACTCCCAGGAAGAAACTGGAATTACAACTAAAACACAGAAAAACTATCCTGAATAATCAACTGAAGATTAGCTGGAGCGATCCCTATAACCATGGACAGAAAGTGGAGACCACATGGAGACTGGCAGGAAGTGCAGAGGAGCGAAAGGCTGGCCGGGCTCCCACAGACAGCAGCTGAACGTCCAGAGAGATATCTTGGCTCTGGAGGTTCCCATTGAGAATTCTGGAGTCTAAACTGCAAGCTGGGCTCCCCAGTCCAGAGGGCCAGAACCAAAAAAGGTGCTCACAGAACATCTGGCTGTGAAAAGCTTTAGGGATGATGTCTGACAAGGAGAGATGGCTGGAAATACAGGCACCTCTTAAAGGACCAATGCACAAAATTTTGTGTACACTCACCTTGGGCTCCAGCAGAGGGTGGACAGAGTGGACTGTAGCTGTATGAGCAAAAGCCAGGGTTGGGAGTTCTGTGGTTAGACCTTGGAAAGCAGACACCCCAGGTTCCTATTCTGAGTCATTCCCTCACACTGCAGAAGACATCTTTCTCTGAGGGACCTTTGCTATCCAGGCAGTTTTTGCCTGGGAAGAGGGGGGGGGGGGCGGGGGGGGAAGGCAGTTGCCCCACCCTATTGGAAAACCCTTGCCCCACCCCGGGGAGTTTCTGAGGCCCATTAAGAGACTGAGAATAGCCCTAACCAGTTTGGCTCAGTGGATAAAGCGTCGGCCTGCATACTGAAGGGTCCCAGGTTCGATTCCGGTCAAGGACATGTACGCTGGTTGCAGGCACATCCCCAGTAGGAGGTGTGCAGGAGGCAGCTGATCGATGTTTCTCTCTCATCGATGTTTCTAACTCTCTATCCCTCTCCCTTCCTCTCTGTAAAAAATCAATAAAATATATTAAAAAAAAAAAGAGAGAGAGACTGAGAATAACAATAAGCCTGCAGGCAGAAGCGATTGCCCCACCATGTTGGAAAACTTCTTGCCCCACACGGTGGTCGACAGCCTGAGGCTAATTGAGACCAAATACAATCAGACTGCAGGCAGAGGCAGTTTTCTAGAGACTTTGAGTCTTTGCCTGGTCTAATTCAGGGCCTGGGGCTAGAAAAAGCAGAACTTGGTCCTTTCCAAAGGCACTCAGCCCCAACAGAGGGAGCCACAAGCTGTGGATTGCTGAATGCTCCAAACAGGGTATGCTGGGCCAATCAGAAAGAGCATCTGACACTGTCCTATACTACAGATTGGGAGACACAGCAGATCTATCTAATAGAGTCACAAACCCAAACAGGCAGTCAAAATGGGGAGACAAGAAAACAAGCCTCAAATTACAACGGAATTCTCCAGTAGAAGAGCTAAATGAAATAAAGATAAGAAATTTATCAAAATGGACAAAGGACCTAAACAGACACTTCTCCAAAGCGGACATACAGATGACCAAGAGACATATGAAAAAATGCTCAAAGTCACTGATCATCAAAGAGATGCAAATTTAAATGACAATGAGGTATCACCTCATACCTATCAGACTGACTACCTAAAACAAATCAACAAATGACAAGTGTTGGTGAGGATGTGGAGAAAAGGGGACCCTAGTACACTGCTGGTGGGAATGCAGACTGGTGCAGCCATTATGGAAAACAGTATAGAGTTTCCTCAAAAAATTCAGTATGGAACTGCCATTTGACCCAGTGATTCCACTTCTGAGAAACCCAAAACACTAATCAGAAAGAATGTATGCAACCCTATGTTCATAGCAACACAACTTACAACAGCTAAGAACTGGAAACAGCCCAAGTGCCCATCAGTAGATGAGTGGGTAAAAAGGCTGTGATACAATTATACCATGGAATATTATGCAGCAATAAAAAAGAAGGTTCTCTTACCTTTTGAGACAGCATGGACGGACCTGGAGAGTATTATGCTAAGTGAAATAAGCCAGTCAGAGAAAGAGAACTATCACATGATCTCACTTATATGTGGAATCTAATGAATAGAATAAACTGATGAACAAAATAGTTCCAGAGACATAGAAGCATAGAACAGACTGTGGAATCTCAGAGGGAAGGCAGGGGAGGGTGGGTGGGTGGGTGGGAAGTGATCAACTAAAGAACTTATATGCATATATGCATAACCCATGGACACAGACAATAGGTTGGTGAAAGCCTGGGGCAGAGGACAGGTGTGGGCTAGAAGGGGTCAATGGGGGACACAGGGGGCCATGTCTAATACTTTCAACATTAAAAAGAAATTTATCACAGAGTTCAGAATAATGATGGCAAAGATGCTCAACAGCATGAGAAAAGATAGTAACTATGAAGAATGTCATAGCACTAACAGGAACACAGTGGAAGGAAAACACAGCAGATTAGGAGAAGCCAAGGATTGGATCAGTGAATTAGAAGACAGGATAGAAAAAAAAATCACTCAATCAGAGAACCAAAATGAAAAAAACAATTAAAAAACAGGACAGCTTAATGGAGCTGTGGAACACCATGAAACATAACAATATTCACATAATAGGAGTGCCACAAGGAGAGGGAAGTGAGCAAGGGATAGAGAATGAGTTTGAAGAAATAACAGCAGAAAACTTTCCTCACCTGGTGAAGGAAAATGTCACACAAGTTCAGGAGGCACAGAGAGTCCCAAGCAAGAAAAACCCAAACAGGCCCATCCCCTGTCAATCATAATTAAAATGCCAAAATTTAAAGACAAAGAGAGAATCTTAAAGGCAGCAAGAGAAAAGCAATTTGTTATCTATAAAGGAGCTCCCATAAAACTGTCAGATGATTTCTCATCAGAAACTCTACAGGCCAGAAGGGAATGGCATGAAGTATTCAAGGTAATGAAAAGCAAAGATCTGAAACCAAGATTACTATATCCGGCAAGGCTATCATTCAAAATAGATGGTGAAATAAAGAGCTTTCCAGGCAAAAAAGGCTAAAGGAGGTTGTCACTACCAAACCAGCACTGCAAGAAATGCTAAAGGGACTGCTGTAATGAGAAGAACAGAAAGAGAATCATTGGCATAGAGAATTAAAATGGCAATAGCCCTAGCCAGTTTTGCTCAGTGATTAGAGCGTCCGACTGTAGACTGAAGGGTCCCAGGTTCGATTCTAGTCAAGGGCACATGCTGGAGTTGTGGGCTCGATCCCCAGTAGGGGGGCATGCAGAAGGCAGCCAATAAATGATGCTCTTTCATCATTGATGTTTCTATCTCTCTCCCCCTTCCTCTGCAATCAATAAAAATATATTTAAAAATAAATAAATAAAATGGCAATAAATAATTACCTATCAATAATAACCTTAAATGTAAATGGATTAAATGCTCCAATCAAAAGACACAGGGTAGCTAAAAGGATATGAAAACCTGACCCAAATATTGGCTGTCTACAAGAGACCCACCTCAGAACAAAAGACAAACAGGATGAGAATGAAGGGATGGAAAAAAATGTTTCCATGCAAATAGAAATGAAAAAAAAGCTGGGGTGGTAATACTCATATCTGACAAAACAGACTTCAAAATGAAGGCCATCACAAGAGACAATAAAGGTCACTACATAATACTAAAAGGGATCGATCCAACAAGAGGATATAACTCTGGTAAACATACTATATGCACCCAATCAAGGAGCACCTAAATATATAAAAAAAACTTCTGGATCTAATGAACAAAATAAACTGTTGAACAAAACAGATTCAGAGACATAGAAGCCTGGAACAGACTGTCGAATCTCAGAGGGAAGGAAGGGGTGGGTGAGTGAGGGGAAGAGATCAACCAAAGAACTTGTCTGCATATATGCATAACCCATGAACATAGACAATAGAGTGGTGGAGGTCTGGGGCGGGGGTTGGGGTAGGCTATAAAGGGTCAATGGGAGAAAAAAGGGGACATAGGTAATACTGTCAACAATAAAGATTTAATTTTAAAAATGTAAAAAAAAATACCTATTAATTTTCACGATATTATTTGGAAATAAGCAAAAAGCAAGAGCCTGTCATACAACAATTTGTCAAGTGCCTTTGGTTCCCTTTACCCTTCCCAGGCAGAAAGTGTGTCCGACCCGGGAAATGTGTGAAATGAGATGTCATTGTAAGAAACAGAAAGGCAGACCCAACTCACCTGCAACTTGATCATTTTTCTCCTCTTCCTTGTGAGGAAAGGCAGAGTTCTGGGACGGCAACGCTGGGGAAGGGAAAGACATGGTGAGAGAGAGGCTACGGATGCTGCCAGTCCACAGGGCCTTCACAGGAGCACAAAGTGGTGCCCTTCTCCGGGCAGAGGCAGTGACCAGGAAGCTAAGTGAGAAAAGGGGCTGACTCCAGCTTCCCCTGGACCCCAGCCAGCTGCCACTGTTCACCAACATTACTTAAAACAGTCCTACCCCAAGTGCGTCTTGACATTCCAGAGTATTCCTGAACCTGGGTATTGGAGGAAATGAAAGGCAGGCAGGCAGGCAGGCAGTATAACTTAATGGGGCCAAAATGCCTGGGTTCAAATTCTGGCATGTCTATGTATTACTTCCTACTCATCAGCAGTGTAAATCTTGAGCAAGTCACTTGTCTCTCTGCGCCTCATTCCAGTCACCTATAAGTGGGGATAATAATAACGCCGGTATTCCCTGTTTCTTGCAGCTAAAGACAAGCAGTCGTTTCGGATTCAAAAAACTCTCCTTAAGAATGTGATAAAAAAATTAAAAAATAAAAGACACAAAGTGACTTTCCAAAAAAATCATTCTTTTAAGAAACCCAGAATTCAGAGATGATTGTTCTGCCCCATGAGTTATCATTACCCTCGGAAAAATCTAATTCTGACTGGTTGTCTCACAGATAATTCCTTGTTAGTAATGACAGTTAAGTTTTCCACGGATTTTCTTCTCCTAACGTGTATAATTTCTTGCAAATGTTATGAAGCTGGAAGAGTCTAGACCAGCGGTTCTCAACCTGTGACCCTTTCACAGGGGTCGCCTAAGACCATCGGAAAACACATACATAATTACATATTGCTTTTGTGATTAATCACTATGCTTTCATTATGTTCAATTTGTAACAATGAAATTGGGGTCCACCACAACATGAGGAACTGTATTAAAGGGTCGCGGCATTAGGAAGGTTGAGAACCACTGGTCTGGACAAAGTTTCTTCTCCCATATGCAAGAAGGTAAATAATGGCTAATAAAAACCTCAGCCTGATAAACCCTGTTGCATTTAAATCAACAACACGGGCTGATTACACAACATTGCACACTGATTGAGGCCCCACCACCCGTGTAGTGAGGCACGCTGTTTCCGTGCTATTCAGATACATGCTGTTAATACTATTTTTCTCTCCAATTGCACGGCTGTTTCCACGGAGGACTTGCTCCAGGGTCCGCGGAAGCCCAGAGGCTAGAGAGGGTCCAGGTGCAGAAACAACAGCCCACATCCAGGCATCATCAGTGAGCTCCGACCCCATCCCGGGCTCACAGAAGCTTCCGCATAACAGGGCGCCTTTCTGAGGTTTACAACAGAATTTATGGTTAGCAGCCAACATTTTACTATGCACGAGGCACTATTTTTAAGCTCCTTATATACAACCTCATTTAAATCTCATAAAAACACCACTGGGAAGAAGTAACCCTTTTTTTTTTTTTTTTTTTTTGCCGTGAGGAAACTGAGGTAAGAAGAGATCAAGGAACTCGCCCAATATTTTACCGAGAGCAGGAGGCAGAGCTGGCTGTCGGGTCCTCCAGGGAGGACCTGGGGGAGCAGAGAGAGCAGGGGACCCTCAAACTCCAATACCTCGCAAGCCCGCCCCCGACTCGGGAGGCTCAGCTGAGCGGATGCTCGCCGCCGCCGCCTCCACGTCCGCCCTCTGCCGCTGGCCGGGGCTCCCTTACTCAGGAGGGAAGACCCAGTCACTGCTCGCCCCGCGCCAAGGCAAAGAAGGTTCGGAGAGAGCGCCAGGACGCGGAGTTAACTCACCTAACTGCCAGAAGCTCTGCCCCAACCTCGCCTTCCGAGAGCGGAAGTGCCTCGGTCTACTCACGGTTCCTGGACTACATTTCCCAGAATCCCCAAGAGGAAGCGCCTAGTTTCCACGCACTCCGGTACTACGTTTCCCAGAATGCAGCTCGCAGGGCCGCTCTTCCCACCCGTTGGCTTGCTTTGACTAGAGAAGATTCCGATGGAGTCACCTATCTGGCGCTTAACTGTCAGATTCCTTTTTGCTTTATTCATTTCTTAAAACTAAGGAGAAAATAATTGCGGGTTTTAAAAAATGCGGCCACTTAAAAGAAAAAAGGGAAGACATGGTAATGACAACTGTGTGGGAGGGTAGCTAAGTATGTAGGAAGTCTCAATCTTCAGTGTCCAAACTGTGCAAGCCAGGAGTGGAGGGGAGGAGGGGGAGTGTAGAATAGCGTTTAATTCCTTTACCTCCTCTAATCCAAAGGCACCTAAGATTTCTTGACATGTTTTGCTGAATAAAATTCTTCATTCAAATATTCTAAGAATTTACAAAATGGCAATACAAACATTGATTAGGCTGTAATAGAGAAAAATCTTGAACTTTAAAAAAAATATTAGCTGTTATGGCAAACAAAGGCAGCTCCACTGCAGGTAATTTAAGAAAATATTGTGATGTGTGCATATGTAGTATCCTGAATTGTTTTCTAATTTGGGTTCAGCTTCAGACATTTCATTACATATTTCTGATATCTTCTATATATATAAATGCCTAAGTGACCATTGCAACTGAAACTATCAGGCAACCAAAACTATCAGACAACCGAACAGGCTGCGTGGGGTGACCAGGCCAGCAGGGGGGTTAGTGAGGGACAACCAAACAACTGAGCAGCAGGCTGCAAAGATGGCGGCGCCCACAGCCAATAAGGAAGGAATATGCTAATTGACTGCCACATCCTCAAAGATGGAGGCGCCCACAGCCAATAAGGAGGGAATATGTTAATTGAATGCCACACCCTCAAGGATGGTGGCGCCCAGTCCCCTCAGCCCTGACAGGGTGGCAGTCATGCAGCAAGTCCAGGCCCACCCGCAGGTGCGCCTGGCCACTCCACGTGCCTGCCTCCAGAGTCCCCCAGTCCCCTCAGGCCCCCAGCCACCCAGGGCCGCCTGAGGCTCAGGTAACCAGGTCCAGCCGAGGCTTGCGCTGCCAGCAGTGGCAGCAGCAGAGGCGTGATGGGGGCGCCGCCTTCCCCTGATCGCCGGGTTGTCTCCCACCCCTGAGGGCTCCCAGACTGTGAGAGGGGGCAGCCCAGGCTGAGGGACCCCTCCTCCAATGCATGAGTTCCTCTAGTCCTATCTAATAATAGACAAACATGGTAATTAACCGTACCTCCGACACGCTTTCTATTGGCTAATCAGGGCGATATGCAAATTAAATGCCAACCAAGATGGCGGCCGGAAGCCAGGCAGCTGAAGCGAACAGGAGGCTTGCTTGCTCCAGTGATGGAGGAAGCAAAGGTTCCCCGCCTGCCGCTGCTGGCCTCTGAGCTGCACTCTAAGAAACAATGTTGCAATTATAGAAGCTAAACAAACCCCAGAAACCTGCTTTCAGCCAGCCAGCCTCGGAGCTGGAGCTGCAACAGTGTTTCAATTATAGAAGCCAAACAAACCAGATACCTGCTTTCAGCAGCCGAGGTCTAAGAGCTGGAGCCGAGCCTCAGAGCTAAAGCCAGCTCTCAGTTCCAGTGAAAGCCATAGAAGGTAAATAAATCCCAGAATAAAAAAAAAAAGGAAAAAGGAGAGGTTGGGAGCTTCAGTCACCCACCAGCCTGAAAACGGCCCTCAGCCCCTCACCCAGATTGGCCAGGCACCCAAGTGGGGACCCCCACTATGAAGAGGGTGTGACCAGCTGCAAACAGCCATCATCCCCTCATCCAGTCTGGCCAGGCACCCAAGCGGGACCCCTATCCTGATCCGGGACACCCTTCAGGGCAAACCAGCCGGCCCCCACCCGTGCACCAGGCCTCTATCCTATATAGTAAAAGGGTAATATGCAAACTGACCCTAACAGCAGAAGGACTGGGAATGACTGGTCACTATGACACACACTGACCACCAGGGGGCAGACACTCAATGCAGGAGCTTCCCTCTGGTGGTCAGTGTGCTCTCACATGGGAGGAGCTCTGCTCAGCCACAAGCCAGGCTGATGGCTGCCAGTACAGCAGTGGTGGTGGGAGCCTCTCCTGCCTCCTCAGCAGTGCTAAGGATGTCCGACTGCAGTTTAGGCCCGCTCCCCGCTGGCAAGTGGACATCCCCCGAGGGCTGCTGGGCTGCCAGAGGGATGTCTGATTGCCATGTTAGGCCCAATCCCTCGGGGAGCGGGCCTAAGCCAGCATGTGGTCATCCCCTGAGGGGTCCCAGACTGCGAGAGGGAACAGGCCGGGCTGAGGGACTTTTTTTGCACAGGGCCTCTAGTCTATATATAAAAGGCTAATATGCAAAGTGTCCCAATGGGAGTTCGACCGGGAGATAGGGAGTTCTATCTCTCACTATGACATGTGCTGACCACCAGGGGGTGGCACGGAATGAAGGAAGGCCCCAGCAAGCAGCCAGGGAAGGGAGGCCCTGGCTGGAAGCCAGAAGGCCCTGATCAGCCCTAATCACTGGCTAGGCCTAGGGACCCTCCCTGTGCACAAATTTCATGCACCGGGCCTCTAGTATATTAAATAAAGTATCTTGTGGTTAAATAGGCCAAGTGAAACCAGGAAGCCATGATTTTTCTCCTAGGGGGAAAATATATTTTGTAGCTTTTTATTATAAAAGTTCAAAAATAGATAAAAGTAGGAGAATAGTAAAATGGACCCAATATACTCCTATCCCAAAATCAAGTTAACATGGTTTTTACCATTAATCTATCACTTTATTTTTTACTTAAAATACAATTTAAAACAAACCCAACATATCTTTCCAGCCCCAAATACTTTGCTAAATATATTTTTTAAAGAAGTAAAAACATTTCCCCTCAGACTACCTATAGTGGGCACACTAAGCCAATTTTCCACAAAAAGGCTAAAACTACAAAGAAGATTGCGCTGAGGTTTGAATGAGTTGAGTCCAACTGCAAATCTCGGAAAACGCTATTAGATGTGCAAGCATTTCGAACTGGGAGGAGATAAGAGAAAGTGCCAAGTGACCTATTTCTAAGCCAAGTGAAAGGCAACAAGCAGTGATTTGAGATCATGGGAAGCACTAATTCAGACAGAAACCCAAAGAGAGACAGCCGATTTCCAGAGGGCACTGCATGGCACTGCTTCCGAGTGTCTCTTCGTTGTTTTGAATAATTGAGTCCTGTTAGTCTGAATTCTTGTGGTATCACTGGTCTGTTCAAATTACCTATTGCAAATAAACACGAGTATACATATGAAATGTGGTTTGCTAGAGAAATAAAGTAGTCATGCAGTCTCTTTATTCTTACGTGAAGGACTAATCTATACTAATAAAAGGGTAATATGCTAATTAGACTAAATGTCCTTCCGGACAAAGCCACGGTGGCAGGGGCTGAGGCAGAGGTGGTTAGGGGCGACCAGGCCGGCAGGCAGAGGTGATTAGGGGCAACCATGCCGGCAGGCAGAGGCAGTTAGGGGCCACTAGGCAGGCAGGCAGAGGCGGTTAGGGGCAATCAGGCAAGCAGGCAGGCAGAGTGGTTAGGGGTGATCAGGCAGGCAGGTGAGCAGTTAGGAGCCAGTGGTCCTGGATTGTGAGAGGGATGTCAGACTGCCGGCAGTCGGATATCCCCCGAGGGGTCCCAGCTTGGAGAGGGTGCAGAAGGGGCTGAGGGACGCCCCCCCCCCCCCGTGCACGAATTTTGTGCACTGGCCCTCTAGTATATATATAAAAGCCTAATATGCTAAGTGTCCAACCATTCAACCGTACAGCCAGTTGCTATGACACACACTGACCACCAGGGGGCAGACACTCCGACTGGTAGGTTAGCTTACTGTTGGGGTCTGGTCAATCAGGACTGGGCGAGATGGGCTGGACACGCCCTGGAGCCCTCCCGCAGTCCCTCCCCAGCACCGATCATGCACCAGTAGGGTCCCTTGGCCTGACCTGTGCTCTCTCGCAATCTGGGACCCCTCAAGGGATCCCGGAGAGCCAGTTTTGGCCCAATCCCCACGGGCCAGGCCAAGGGATGCCACTGGTGCATGAATCCATGCACTGGGCCTCTAGTCAAATATAAAGTCTAAGAGTTCCCAAACCAGTTCCTCTTAGCTGACATGCATCACACACATGTTGATGTTCACTGTTACTCTAAAGCCAAAATGCTTCCCAATGCATAATTATAAAGTTGTGTTTTCTCATTTCCACCTCTCAAAAGAGAAATGTTACATGTGGGCCTACTTTGGACAAATAGTAACACACTTTATGTTCATATGTTATTCTCAAAAATTCATTCCAGTGCAGGAAATGGGACAGTGAGGAAGGTATGTTTTTAGTGGTTTTAAGACCCTTCCTAAAAGGAAAGCTATTATCTGTCTATGATTTTTGCTTATTTATATACTTTGAACCATTAATAACTGTTGTGTAACAACTGATTCATGTGAGTCTGCTATAACAATTGATTACTACAGGAGTTGACAGAATTGAAACAGAGTAAATTTTGGGGTTCTCAACTTTTCATTGACATTTTAGGAGAGTGAAAAACATTCATCCACATGAAATAAGTTTAGTAAAAATTAATACATAAACCGTAGAATACTGTGCATTCATTAAAAGAATGTAGCAGCCCCGTTGGTGTGGCTCAGGTTGAGTGTCGACCTATGAACCAGGAGGTCATGGTTCAATTCCTGGTTAGGGCACAAGCCTGGGTTGCGGGCTTGATCCCCAGTGGAGGGCATGCAGGAGGCAGCTGGTAAGTAATTCTCTCTCATCATTGATGTTTCTATCTCTCTCTCCCTCTCCCTTCCTCTCTGAAATCAATAAAAATATATTAAAAATAAATAAAAATTAAAAAAACCACCAAATTAGAAAATAGTATGCACAGTAAAATTCTATTTTTAAAAAATATTATACAGAAATATTTGCAAACATAACATGATGCACAGTATTCACATTATGGCCCTGGACAACATTGCTCAGTGGTTAGAGCATCAGCCTGCACACCAGAGGGTTAGGGGTTGGATTCTGGTCAAGGGAAGGTACCTGGGTTGCAGGTTCCAACCCCACCCCCAGTCTGGGCATGTGTGGGAGGCAACCAATCGATGTGAATCAAGGTTTCTCTCTCCTCTCTCTCCCCGCTCCCTTCCACCCTCTCTAAAAAAAATCAATGGAAAAATATCCTTACTCCTTGGGTGAGGATCAAAAAAAGTAGTCACAGTATGTATCTGAATGAATTTGAATTTTAAAAGATTTTCATTTACACATTGAATTTTTCTCTCCAGTTTATATATGATATTCAGGCATTAATTTTAAGCCAGTTTATTGCAGTGTAATTTACATGATAATATTTACTCTTCTTAGTGTACAGTTCTATGAATTTTGCTTGCCAGAGAAAACCACTGTATACATGATGGTGAGTAACCTTTCACACATTATCTATTAAGCATGTATTTGAACATATATGTGTACAGACTTAAATGAACTGGTTATTATGATCCACATTTTCACTAAACAATATGCATGATTCTTTCCTATCATTTTAGGTCTCTTACATACTATCTCTTACATACATATTATAGATAAAGAGAAACTTATCCAAACTCCTATTTATTTCTAGTTTTAAAAAATTACCCTCATTGTACACATCCTTTCTATATTATCATAAATTACTTTATGATTTCCAGATGGGTATGCATATTTGACTTTTTTTTAAAGTTTTTTAATTTTTTGATTTATTTTAGAGCTAGAGGAAAGGAAATATCAATTTGATGTTCCAGTTATTTGCATTCATTGGTTACTTTTAAAAAATCCTCACCCAAGGATTTTTCCCATTGATTTTTAAATAAAGTGGGAGGGAGGGGAGGGAAAAGGGGAAGAGAGAGAGAAATATGATATGAAAAACATTAATTGGTTGCCTCCTGCAGGTAACCTACTGGGGTTGGGGATTGAACCTGTAACCAAGGTACATGCCTTGACTGGGAATCAAACACAGGACATTACAGGACACAGGACTGTGTGAGCCACGTCCTGCGTGGTTCGGGGTTCAGAATCTGGAGAAGGGCCACATGCAAATGACAGAGACGAGACAAGAAATAGTAATTTGGAAATATTGGGGGCCAGGTGGGAAGCCCAACACAAGGGGAAGGACTTCCACTGGTGCCCAGGCCTTGCCAGCCTTTTATTTAATTTTGGATACACATATAGCCCTTAATCAGACAGGCAATTCCAGTAACAGACTATCTGAAAAGTAGACTATTTGGTCAGGAAATTGCTTGTCTCGACTAAACAATTGGTGCATAGCTCTGGCCCTTGGCAGAGCTCAAGGTTCACCAGCGTTCCGGGCTCCTTGTTTACACTTCTCCGATAGTGAAGACAATGGGTAGCTTCCAACAAAGGATGACACTCTAACCCACTGACCCACACTGGCCAGACAGCTGGCTGCTTCTTGTATTTGACCTGAAAGGGGATTGAGCCCACAACCTTGGCCTATGGGGACGACACTCTAACCAAATGAGCTACCTGGCCAGAGTACATATTTGACATATATTGTGTCACTAACTCTTCTCTAACAAGCTTATACTTTTCATTACCACCAACAATATATTGTTCTTGAAGAAAGAGACCACCAAGTAAAAGGCAATCATAACCTCATAATCAATATGTTTGATTAAATATTTCTAAAATTCAATATTTTTCCTTTCTTTGTGTGAGTGGGAGAAGTATGGGGATGGAAAACGACAAAATTAAAGTCCTCCAAACTCATTACAGATCCTGCCTAAAGAGGTTAAATTGAGTAAAGGCTGTAACTCAGAAACCAGTCAGATCAAAAGACTTTGATGGAAAGATGGAGATTAAAAACAAGCACTGTAATTTTGACATTTATTAAGAAAGTATTTTTCATTAGTAACCATTTCCGACACTTTCCAAATATTACAGTAAAATTCTGCCTTAACACACAGGCAGGAGTAAAAATTCAATTATGTAAAATGCAGTGTTCCATTTTTGCAAAGTTAACCAGAAACATTACCAGTTTGCACTGTCATTTGAAGTGCACATATGTACATACTGACACACACACACAGCTAAAATTTTTAAACTGATAGTATATAAAAGTGACCAGATAGTAAGAAATTCAGCTCATCCCTCCTTAAGATAGCATATAGGGCAGAAATAAATCCTAACATGGTAACAACCAAATTCATGTCATTTCAGATTGAAATACTACTTGATGTTCCATGTTTCAAATACTTGATATATTAAGGTTACTTGCAGTCTTCCAAATACGTCTTTTTGGGGTGGGTAAATGAGCTTATTAAAAATTTCAATACACACTTTGTCATTTAGCAAAAAGTACTGAGCACCTACATTGAGTTAGGCAATGATATAGTCTTAGCAGTGAATGAAGCTCCTCCCCTTAAGCTTACATTCTAGTGGATATGGATTTAGGCATGCTCATCATTGTACTTTTGTTAAATTCCTCACCGTACTTTATAAGCCCTGGTGCAACTAGTTAAAGTCATGTGCAATGACTGATGCTATACATCCCTTATGAAACCTCTCTCATTAGATATCTGCTGTGTGGTCTCCTATTGTGAATATTGTGAGACTGGGTTAAAACATCACGTTTTCATTAAAGATAATCTTTTTCTACTATAAGAACTCTAGTAAATGGGAAAATTCAGCTTCCATTTGAGGACTTAAAAACAAAACAAAATACCATTTTATAGGATTTCATTTGTGTATGGATTATCTGATGGATAATGCTTACCATACTGCTCACTTTTATAAAAAGTATCACTGTGGACTCTTTGATGAATTAGGAGACCTGAGCTCCAACGAAAACCCTTACCACAGGCATCACATTTGTATGGTTTCTCTCCTGTGTGGACTCTCTGGTGAGCCTGAAGATTTGATCTCTGACTGAAGCCCTTTCCACACACCTCACATTTATATGGCTTTTCTCCAGTGTGGACTCTGTGATGGGCTTGAAGACTTGAAAATCCACTGAAACCCTTGCCACACTGTTCACATTTATAGGCCCTCCCTTCTACGTGGATCCTCTGATGTGCTTGAAGACGTGAACTCTCACTGAAGCGCTTCGTACAAACCTCACATTTGTATGGTTTCCCTCCTGTGTGAACCCTCCGATGTGCTTCAAGGCGTGAACTCTGACTAAAGCCCTTCCCACACATCTCACATTTATATGGCTTCACTCTAGTGTGGACCCTCTGATGACCTTGAAGATATGCTCTCTGACTGAAGCCCTTTCCACACACCTCACAAATGTATGGTCTCTCGCCAGTGTGGACACTCTGGTGGCTTTGAAGGTATGATCTCTGACTGAAGCTCTTACCACACTCATCACATTGGTATGGCTTCTCTCCTGTGTGAACTCTCTGATGGGCCAAAAGTGTTGAGGCCTTACTGAAGCCCTTATCACATTCTCCACATTTATAGGGTTTCTCTCCTGTGTGAACCCTCTGATGAATTTGAAGATTGAAGCTCCAACTGAATCCCTTCCCACACTCCTCACATTTGTAGGGTTTTTCTCCAGTGTGGACTCTCTGATGGCCTTGAAGGTGTGAACTCCGACTGAAGCCCTTCCCACACTCCTCACACTTATATGGTTTTTCTCCAGTGTGAACTCTCTGGTGGCCTTGAAGGTATGAATTGCGACTGAAGCCCCTCCCACACTCTTCACATTTGTATGGTTTTTCTCCAGTGTGGACTCTCTGATGGGCTTGAAGGTATGAACTGCGACTGAATCCCTTATCACACTCCTCACATTTATAAGGTTTCTCTCCTGTGTGGACTCTCTGATGGACATTAAAAACTGATCTATGACTGAAGCCTTTACCACAAGCATTGCATTTGTATGGCTTCTCTCCAGTGTGGACTCTCTGGTGACCTTTAAGTTTTAAACTCCAATTGAAGCCATTTCCGCACTCCTTATATGATTTCTCTCCAATGTGAGTTTTCTGATGGCCTTGAAGATACGAATTTTGGCTGAAGTTGTTACCACATGAATAATGTTTATAGGGTTGTTCCCTAGGGTGGACTATCTGAAGGTCTTGAAAATGTGAGGGCAGACTGAAGCCATTAGCACACTCCTCCGAATTACAAGGAATCTCTTCCATGTGAACTCTATGCTGAATATTAAGATTTGAATTACAAATGAAATCTTCCTCATACTCTACATCTGTGCAGAGTTTCTCTTCAGTGTGGATTTTCTGATGGACTTGCAGATGAGAACTATGATTAAGGACATTCCCATTCTCCTTATATTCATGGGGTTCCTGCCCAGTGCCAACCCTAAAAATACCACCAAGGTCTAAGCTGTGACTGAAGGCTTTCTCACAAGTATAGGATGTCTTTCCTGTGTGAATAAGTCCATCCATGTTAAGAGAGGAGCACCGATTCAAGTTCTCTCCATATTCACATATACACGGCTTCTCTTCTGTATGTTCTCTCTGATGGGATTGCAGATGTGAACTCTCCAAAATACAATCATCTCTTCTATGAACACATTGATGAATATGAAGAACTGAATTATAACTACAGCCCTTTCCACATGGACTGTATGTATGGGGTTCCCCTTCTAACTGTTGATGAACCTCAGAGCTGAAGTCATCCCTGATGACTTTTCTGTAATCATTATAGGGGCAGGGCTTTTGTCTTGTTTGAATTAAATCTTGATTATGCAGTGACACCTTCCTAATGTCTTCTCCACAGTCATGGCAGTTGTGGGTTTTTTCTGTTCTGTGACCTCTCAGATTGTCATTGTGATGTGAGATCCAACTGATGCCATCACACTCACAGATACTATTTTTCATGGAAACTTGTTGACATCTACACTGATAATTATGTGGCTCTGCCAGACACATTTTACTCCAAGGATGCTGGGCTCTCCAATATGGAAATTCTTGATTTTTTATGTAATCAGAACTATCCTCTCCAGGAGTCAATATATAGTTCCCATCTTCAGAAATCTGCATTGGTATTCCTGCCCAAACCTGGCAGGGGGAATCACCTTGTTTTTGCAACTTAGAAATATTTCTTTGAAAATTTTTCATGGAATCTTGACACCTGGTTAACCCATTTGCACCCTGTTGCCAAGTCTGCCAGGAGGAAAGCTCTTTGGGAGAAAGGCAGTTTAATCCCACTTCTTGAAAACTCTTCACATTATGTTGGTTCTTGATTCCTATAAGGATAAAGAGAACTTAGACATAATATAGTGAATGCTTTATTCATATTTCAAGATTTTGCACTTAAGTTATAACATGAAACTTCAATGAACTGGAGGAATATTCATGTGACCACCTCTAAGAATACTTAGAAAATGGCTCTTCTGCCCGGCGGTGGGGCTTAGGGGTTGAGTGTTGACCTATGAACAAGGAGGTCATGGTTCGATTCCTGGTCAGGGCACATGCCCGAGTTGTGGGCTCAATCCCCAGTAAGGGGCATGCAGGAGGCAGCCAATCAATGTTTGTCTCTCATCATTAATGTTTCTATTTCTCTCCCTCCCCATTCTTCTCTTAAATCAATAAAAATATATATTTTTGCCCTAGCTGGTTTGGCTCAGAGGGTAGAATGTCAGCCTGAGGACTGAAGGGTCCTAGGTTCGATTCCGGTCAAGGGTGCATGCCTAGGTTTCAGGCTCAATCCCCAGTAGGGGGCATGCAGGAGGCAGCCAATCAATGATCTTCTCTCATCATTGATGTTTCTATCTCTCTTCCCTCTCCCTTCCTCTCTGAAATCAATAAAATTATATTTAAAACCATATATATATATAAAAATATATATAAGTATATATATATATATAGTATATATATATATATATATATATATATATATATACACACACACACACACACACACACACACACACACATACATACATACTAGGGTCCCAGTGCACAAACTCGTGCACCTTGAAAGGAATTGTGGGCCATGAGGCTACAGTTGGCACAGGGGCGGATCTCGGCCCATCCTCTGCAACCCCACCTGGCCCCTCCTGCCATGGCCCCCCCCGGTCCCATCTGCTGGCAGCCCCACTCCCACCACGGCCGCTCCCACGTGCTGATGGCACTGGCCCACTTGCACCCACTGAAGGCTCAGAACAATTGGAGCTGGCGCCAGCATCAGGTGCGAGTGGGGCTGGCACCATCAGCAGGTGCAAGTGGCAGCTGCTGCCCCAATCGCCCCTCAGGAGCAGGGGGAGGTGGAGAAGCCCTCAGGGGCAATCAGGGCCAGCAGCTGCCACTCTCACCCACTGATGGTGCTGAGCAATTGGGACTGGTGCTGGGCACCAGTAGTGGGTGCAAGCGGCGTCTCTGGCGCCAGCAGCAGGTGCAAACGGGGCTAGCGCTGGCAGCAGGTGCAAGCACTGGGCGGGACCGCAGTGTGCAAGAGCAAAGAATTTTCAGTAACCACCGGAGACTCGCCCCGATGACAGCGACCAATGCCCTGCCTTGGTCTGGCGCCTCTGCTCACTTGCTCCCCCATCCCACCACAGCTGATGCCTGCCATGTTCCACACACGCCCCCTGGTGGTCAGCACGCATCATAGTGACCAGTTGTTTGGTTGTTCTGCCATTAGGTCTATTTGCGTATTAGCCCTTTATTATATAGGGGATATATATATATATATATATATATATATATATATATATATATGAAAATGGCTGTTCTTTAGCTACATCAGGAATATAAGTAGAAATCATATAATTGGGGATACATGTTTCAAAGTCAGGGCTTTGCAACACAACTGGATATTGAACGTGGTGGCCCTGTTCAAAGGTTTAGTAAAACCATACACATTATCATGGATTGCCTGGAGATGCCAAGGAAAAAATAGAAGGGGATAGTCTCAAATTAGAAAGAATATTTTTCAAGTGGACAAATCCGTTTTGTCCTGATAATAACTTTTTCTTTTATCTCTAGCACATTGGCATGATAATGTTTGAGTTTGTCTGTTAAATTGTGTGCAGACAATGGCAAATATAGATCTTTAATCGATGTTTGAGGCATCATGTGGACTATCTCTCATAAGGTATTTATCATCATGAGAATAATAAGTTCTTCTAAGTCACTGTAAGCCTTTATCAGCTTTAACTCCTTTCAAAGGCTATCTCACAATTACCAAGGGCCATGGTGCAGATCAGAATGTGAAACAGAGACAGAATTTCAAAGACATCAGAAAAAATGGAGGCTGAGGGAGGTAAGCAGAGCCAAATTTCATGGCAGCTGTAGGTGTCCTTTAAGGCAAGTTATCAAACAAACAAAACTCGGTGAACACTGATGTTGGCTTGCACCATTTTATTGTAAAGTTACTTTAATGTTTAGGGACTCTAAGTCACCAGAAGAGTTGAAGCCAGGAGTGTTTGGATGGAAATGGATTGTCACGTAGTTATTACAGCTCAGATTATAAACAGATAGCAAGAAGTAGCCTTCCTCAGGACACCTGGTTCAACATGGCTAAAGTAATAATATGCACTCTTCTAACACTTGGCAGTACATTAATTTTCTATAGCAGCCAGAAAAGAAAGCAGTAAAAGAGTATTTTGGGGGGGGGGGGGGCTAACAAATCATCTTCAAACATAATCATGTTTCCTATCTATTTGTACCTGGTGTCTCTCCACATTGGAATGTATTATCCACAAGAACAAGCACTTTGTTTTGTGCACCGTATCACCCTTAGTGCCTAAAACAGGATGGCGAACCTATGACACGCGTGTCAGAGGTGACACGCGAACTCATTTTTTTGGTTGATTTTTCTTTGTTAAATGGCATTTAAATATATAAAATAAATATCAAAAATAGAAGTCTTTGTTTTACTATGGTTGCAAATACAAAAAAATTTCTATATGTGACATGGCACCAGAGTTAAGTTAGGGTTTTTCAAAATGCTGGCACGCCGAGCTCAAAAGGTTCGCCATCACTGGCCTAAAACATTCCTAGCAAATAGTAGTTTTGTAATAAGCATAGATCATAGTTTGCATCATTCTCACTCACAGAACTAAAGGGCATGTATATGTAAGTTATTTTTCATGGGAAAAGAACCAGTGACGGCAATTCTGCTGCAAAGCTGAAAAGACTGTATGAGAGGTAGGGCTACACGGAGGCATCTATCACCTGCTCATGAGAACAGCAAAGGTCACAAGAATGCCTTGGGGATTGAATCATTTTAATTTTTTAAAAAAATATATACTAGAGGCCCGATGCACAAAATTTGTGCAAGGGGCTTGGCTGTCCAGCTGTCCGGTCTAATTAGCATATTATGCTTTTATTATTATAGATATTTTAAATCTTCACTTGAGGATAAATTTTTTTATTTTTGAGAGAGATTAATGTGAGAAACATCAATCAGTTGCCTTCTGTACCTGCCCTGACCAGGGATCAAACCTTCATGTTAGGTATGTGCCATGACTTGGAATCAAACCCACCTTTTTTGGTGTGCCAGATGACATTCTAACTGAGCCACCTGGCCAGGCAAGTCTTTTTCATTTTTAAAATAATCTTTAGCCCAGCCGGTGTGGTTCAGTGGTTGAACATGACCCATGAACTAGGAGGTCATGGTTCAATTCCTGGTCAGGGCACATGTCCAGCTTTTGGGCTAGATTCCCAGTAGGGGGCGTGCAGGAGACAGCCAATCAATTATTCTCACTCATCATTGATTTTTTTTTCTCTCTCTCTCTCCCTCTCCCTTAGTCTCCCTCTCAAAAAAAAATTTTTTTTAAATAACCTTTATGTTGCTATATATTTTCTCACACAAAATCTTACCTGTAGCCCCTCCCTATCTTCAAATTAATAAAAAGGGAAAAGGAAAAGGCCATACTGATGATTGTGTGACGTTCTACTTGGAAACTACCCTACACTGATCCCAGGGTAACACTTATGGCACATTTTTAAGATTTCAGTCCTTAAAAAAATTCTTAGTGAGGTTTCTGGCTTTTCAAAAGTAAATCTTCAGTTATTACATTAATATTTTATCACCTGAAGGTGAAATGAAGCATACTGTAGGAGGCATGCCAGATAAAGTAAATAGCTTATATGTAAAAAGTTTGGGCCTTTAGCTAGTTAATCATGATGCTTATAGTTTTGTTTTGGTATCATCAAAAACACTCAATATTCATCCAAAAAGATACAGTTTAGTGTGTCGTGTCTTTTGGAACTGATATGGTGGCTTTAGGACCTGTAAGCAGCTTGTTACTGAAAGCCCAATTTCTTACAATTTTCAATAGAAATTTGTACAAAATTTATGACATAAGAATCTCTCAAATACACAAAAGAGATTTAAGGGTTGTTGTTGTTTTTTACCAGCATTTTTAATGTTAAAGGCATAGAGGGGAAAACTGTAATTTCATTTAGTTTCAGCCTCTCATGGAAAAGATCACATATTTAACATTAACTTTAAATAAATCAACTTTTTTTGATGGAGAAAATATGCACTGCAAAAAAGCACTGAAAGACATCACTTAAAGGAGAATTTACATCTTCTTAGTAATCCTTTAGAGTTTGAGAAAGTCAGCCATTCCAGTCCTGTATTAATTTATTCAATAATGAAGATGTCACCCTGACCGTTTTGGCTCAATGGATAGAGCTTCAGCCTGTGGACTGAAGGGGTCCCAGGTTCAATTCCAGTCAAGGGCATGTACCTTGGTTGCGGCACATCCCCAGTAGGGGGTGTGCAGGAGGCAGCTGATCGATGTTTCTCTCTCATCGATGTTTTTAACTCTCTATCTCTCTCCCTTCCTCTCTGTAAAAAATCAATAAAATATATTTAAAAAAAAATAATGAAGATGTCATACCAGGTGCACCGGTTAATAATGCGGATTTTGTAATCAAAGAAAACATGATAATTTCAAGAGAAACATCAAAAGTGCTCTATTCAAAGTAATGTCCATCACTAGCTACACATTTCCCCCATCTTTCAGGTAATTTGTGGATACCGTCCCAATTGAACTTTTCTTGTTTTGAGGCAAACCATTCAGAGACCCAATTTTCCACTTCTTTGTACGTTTTGAAGTGCTGCTGAGAAAGTGCGCGTGCCATCGATCGGAACAAGTGGTGATCTGAAGCAGCAAGGTCTGGTGAATACGGCGGGTGGGTTAATACTTCCCAGGCAAGATCTTTTAACGTGTCTTTAACTGGCTTTGAAGTGTGTGATGGATGGTGCATCATCATGAAGCAAAATTACTTTGCTGTGTCTTCTGGCCCATTCTGGTCGTTTCACGATCAAAGCGTGGTTCAAATTGATTATTTGTTGTTGACAGCGATCAGTATTAATGGTTTCACCTGGTTTTAGAAGCTCAAAATACACCACACCTTCCCGATCCCACCAAACGCAGAGCATTGTCTTCTTTCCGAAGCGATTTGGCCTTACAGTTGATGTTGATGGTTGACCTGGATCAACCCATGATTTTGTGCATTTGGGATCCTCAAAATAAATCCACTTTTCATCGCCAGTCACAATTCGATGCAAAAAAGACTTTCTTTCGTGCCGTTGAAGCAACATTTTACTGATGACTTTTCGGTTTTCCATTTGTCTTTTGTTCAGTTGATGTGGCACCCATTTTCCTTCCTTTAAAATCTTTCCCATTGCTTGTAAACGATCAGAAATTGTTTGCTGAGCAACGTTTAATCTTTCTGCAAGTTGTTTTTGAGTCTGACCTGCATCTTCATCCAATAATGCTTGTAATTGTTGGTCTTGAAACTTTTTTGGTTGACCTGGACGCTCTTTGTCTTTCACATCGAAATCATCACTTTTAAAGCATTTAAACCAGCGTTCACAAGTATCTTGAGATGGAGCATGTTCACCATAAGCTTCCCGAAGTATACGATAACTTTCAGCAGCATTTTTCTTCAAAATAAAGTGATGAATTAAAACTTCCCGCAAATGCTCTTTTTTTTGGCACAAATTCGACATTTTTAAGCGTAAAAGTATCTATGATGTTAACACCTTCAGCAAATTTGACATATGAAGTTTTGAAGCTTGCTGTCAATACAACAAAATAGCATACATATCAAATCGCATATATATCAACATATGTGTAACTCCATCTATTGAAAAAAATCCGCATTATTAACTGGTACACCTAGTAAAACCCAACATATTAAAATTCTGCAGCATGCCAAAACATATATTTTTTGCTGATCTGACAAAAAAAAGCAGGTATAATTTTGATCATTCACACCAAACAGCTATTATTGTGTTGGCTGTTGTCATTTTTTTCTTTGACAATTTAAGGAAAAAGAGGTCAGTGCTCCTGACTAAATGGTCAGGTGTTGCTTGTTTTAAAAATTCTTGTGGCACACTGGTTAAAAATAGCTGTTTTAACAGTTTTAGATAGTAAGAGAAATTAAGGCATTTTCTCGACCGAAGATACAGTAACGATGTTTTCCTTATACACTAATACTTAAGCTGCTGCGTGGGTTACACTGTTAACCACATCTGAGGCTTACCTTGCTTTAGCAGAATATGATTACCTTATTGGACCTTTTGTCTGTTTCTACTTCTTTTTCTCACAACTGAATTAATTCTAAATTTGTTTTAGAAGGTTAATTATTGTCTCAATTTCTGTAACAGATATAGGCCTATTCATATTGTTTCTTTTTTATTGTGTAAGTTTTGGCAATTTGTCTTTCAAGAAATTAGTCCATTTCATCTACGTTATTAAATTTGTGGTCAGAGACTTTGTTCATAAGCATTATTTTTTTTTTTTAATCTACTTTATTATTTTTTTAAATCCTTACTCAATGATATTTTTCTATTGATTTTTAGAGAGAGTGGGAGAGAGGGAAAGACAGAGAGAAATATTGATGTAGAGAAACATATTGATTGATTGCCTCTTGCACGAACCCTGACCAGGGCCCAGGGCAAGAAGAAGCCTGGAACCAAGGCACATGCCCTTGACCGGAATTGAACCCTGGACCCTTCGGTCCACAGGCCAATGCTCTAGCCACTGAGCCTAACTGGTGAGGGTCATAGTCTTTTAATATCTTTTTAAAGTTCACGGGTTCTAAAGTCATGTCTCCTCTTTCATTTCTAATATTCGTAATTTGTGTCCCCTCTTTCTTCTTAATTAGCCTGGCTAAATTTGCATGTCAATTTCATGCATCTTTTTTCCAAGAACCAGTTTTTGGTTTCACTGGTTTTCTCTATTGATTTCCTATTTTCAATTTCATTGCTTTCTGCCCCAATTCTCATCCTTTTTATCTGCTTACTCTGAATTTAATTTGCTCTTCTTTTTCTAGTTTCCTAAGGTGGATGCTTAGATGTTTGAATATTTCTCCTTTTCTAATGCATGGAATTAATTTTCTTCTAAGTACTGCTTTAGCTGCATGACAAAATTTTGATAAGTTGTTTTCCTTTTCATTTTGTCCAAAATATCTTTTAATTTCTCGAGATTTCTTCTTTTACCCATGTGTTATTTAGAAAAGTGTTGTTTAATCTCCATGTATTTGGGGATTTTCCCGTAACTTAATTTACTAATATCTACTAATATCTACTTAATTTACAAATATCCATTGTGGTCTGACAGCAGACTTTTATGATTTTTATTCTTTCAAATTTGTTAAGGAATGTTTTATGGCCCATGTTTCATGTGAGCTTGAGAAGAAGAGTTCTATTTTTCATATTTTTAAAAATATATTTTTATTGATTTCAGAGAGAAAGCGAGAGGGAGAGATAGAAACACCAATGTTGAATCATTGATTGGCTGACTCCTGCACGCCCCCTACTGGGGATCAAGCCCACAACCCCAGGCATGTGCCCTTGACCGGAATCAAACCTGGGACCCTTCAGTCCGCAGGCCGACACACTATCCGCTGAGCCAAACCGACTGTGGCAAGAGTTTTATTTTTCAAATTATCCACATTAACAATGGCTCCAACTCTATGCCACAAAGCTATCATTTTAGAATTAGTTTTAACTCAGTCCACAGGGGAAAATATATAATATTATGAAAACAAAAACAAGGTTATGTGGGGCTGGGGCAGAGAAACAGCTATTTCTCTTTTTCATTGTAGGGCATGACACTCAACTTGGGACAGAAAAGGAGATCATAGCAGGAGAAACAGGATCAGTATGTTTGTGCTCACATAAATGTCAAATTTGAAAGGTCTACTTCAAAATTTCAGTTAAATACAGAGACTATATAGGGGTTAGAGAAATGGAGGGGGAGACGGGATAGAATGGGAAGGTAAAGAGTGGGGCTTACGAATAAGGAAGTTTTTGCCAATGCAAAACTGTCTCACTTGAAATTGTTGCATGGGAAGCCCAATTATAATGTTGACACTGATCATGTTCAATACCTATTCTAGTTGATTAGTGATTCTTAATCTTTTAGGAATAATGGCTACCCATCTATGAATATTCAAGGACACCTAAACAGAATTAGGATAAGCATTCCTCAGATGACAAAATAAGATTCTGAAGTATCCTTTGATAACACTGATTTATTCTATACCGACTAGCTAGCTATCTCAGGGAGGACTGGTGACAGTGAAGACAATGTGTCTATTAACCAATGCATTCACTGAAGGCAGAGAGAAAATCTAGACAAGGAGCCTGAAGCAGAAGCATGAATGATAGTCTGAGGGGCAGCAGTGGGACAGTGCAGCTGGAACAGAATGGCTAAGCAAACAAACAGCAGTAGGAAGATATGGAAAGCTAGAGGGTGCAAGGGCACAGAAATCTGAAGGCCTAAGAGCCACGGTAAGTACTTTAGATTCTACCACGTGTGCAATGGGAAGCCTTCAGAGTTGAAAGCTCTGACTTGTTCGAGGAGGGGCTCTTTGGCTGCTGGGTTATTGCTGGGCAGTTCTCACCTGAACACCCATCTTTCTGGGTTTCTGTCGCCACCATCAAACGCTTTTCTTCTCTCTCCAGCTGGAAGATAAGGTCTGGTTTGAAGAGCTGAGTCCCTATGAAAAGGCAAGAAGAGCAAAATTTTTAAATTTTGAAGTCTAATTCATCATTTTCTTTTTTGATTCATGCTTTTGCTGTCCCATCTAAGAATGCTTTGAAGGTCATGAATATTTTTTTTCCTGTTTCCTTCTAGAAGTTTCATACTTTTAGATTTACATTAGATCTCTTACCTATTTTGGGTTAATTTTTTCTGTGAGGTGTAAGACATGCAAATAGATGCAATAGGCATCCAAGGTTTCTGCTCCACCTGCTGAAAAGACTGCACCTCTCCACTGAATTGCCTTGGCACCTATACTACATCTAGAATAGTTTCAGCTCAGTTGATTAGTGTCATCCCCATAGGCCAATTGTTAGAAAAGGGTAAAGGGTTAATACATAGTTTTTTGTTGTTTTCTTGTTTGTTTTGTTAATACCTGAGGATACTTTTTCCATTAATTTTGTTTTAGAGTGGCAGGGAGGGAGGAAGGGGGAGAGAGAAAGAAAGAGAGATAAAGAGAGATAAAGAAAGAGAGAGAGAAACATCGATGTGAGAGAGGCACATCGATTGGTTGTCTCCCGCATTCATTGGGCTGGGGAGTAAAACTGCAACCCAGGCATGTGCCCTTGACAGGAAATGGAACCCGCAACCTCTCTGAGCACGGGTTCTAACCACTAACACTGGCCAGGGCAGGTTAACACAGTTTTGTTATAAACTGTCAAATTCCCCTCCTTTGTGTCTGTATCATTTTGTATTTCTACTTTCAATGTATGATAGTTGTTTTATTTCCCACAACTTTGCCCAAAAAATGTTTTAAATTTTTTACCAATCTCATGGGTCAGAAATGGTATTTCAAGTACATTTTAATCAATGTCTCTCATATTTTAAATAAAACTGAACATCTACTCATAGGTACATATTCACATGTAGTTTGTATGTTTTGTAGATGAACATGTATGTGCATGCACATACACACACCCCTACCTCCTGGCTCAATCCCCTGAGACCAAGAAACAAAATGACAATGACAATTCTTAACATCCAGACCTTGAGGTTAAATACTGTTCTCTAATAAAATAAATGGTTGATTCCAGAGCTGGGGCAAAGGAAAAGATGAGCATAACATAAGGAAGTGTTAAAATAAAATGGGGCGCCGAAACCAGTTTGGCTCAGTGGATAGAGCGTCAGCCTGCGGACTGAAGGGTCCCAGGTTCAATTCCGGTCAAGGGCATGTACCTGGGTTGCGGGCACATCCCCAGTAGGAGATGTGCAGGAGGCAGCTGATCCATGTTTCTCAATCATCGATGTTTCTAACTCTCTATCCCTCTCCCTTCCTCTCTGTAAAAAATCAATAAAATATATTTAAAAAAATAAAAAAATTAAAAAAAAATAAAATGAGGCATATTACAAGGGCATAAGAGTCAACTTAAAAGGTTGGCCAGATATGGGACAATTTTAGCACCAAAACAATTATAGCAGTAAATTATAAGTCATATTAAAAATAATATTTCACAAACCCCTATAAATAACAAATAAATGAATTTGCTTATTGTAGAACGTCAAGTGCTGACTGCTAAGTATGAGGGAAGTACTAAGTCAGAACATCGTTTTGTAACTATCGTGGTAAAGACTGAATAAGGCAAGGATCATCATTGGATACTAAATATTAGTCTGGTCTTAAAAAGTGTTGCCTATGACAGCAAGAGGAAAGCAGCCGTAGTTTTACAGTGGAGAAACTGGACAGTGCCTTGACGGTGATCAAAATTAAACTCGCCCACAAGGGGCAGGTGGTGCGCCTCTAGATGTGATGCCTCAAAAGGACACACCGCTCCCAATGCAGAGTGCCGGCCAGAAAGGATCACCTGGATCTCATTAGGAGGAGACGAGGAAAGCTCTATCAGAATTGGGGGGCAGGTAACAAGATTCTTCAGAAACGTCACTGCCATAAAAAATAAAGAAATGCTGTGGAAAGGTTCTTAATTAAAGGAGGTCAAAGAGACATGACAGCTTGACTAGATCCTAGACTAGATCTTTGGTGGGAGAAAGAAAAAATGCTATGAGAATGGGCTCTGTTCATAAAATTAGAGCATAAATGATAGAACGGATAAAGATATTATATCTGCAATGGGGATATGTAGGAAAATATTCTTACTTCTACAAAATATACTGTTCAGCGAAGAATTAACCTTGCCCAAAGCGAAGTATGGCCTTTGCCCTCAGCTCTCGGGAGGTGGTCTCGAAGCCCTCGGAATGTCCTACTCAATGAGAGTGTCTTTCTTACCCAGAGGACGTGGGATAGACCAGATAGCCTAACAATGTGACTTATGGTGGGGGTTTGGGCCGCGTGCTATCAGCTTGATTTCCAGAGGGGCTGGAAACTAAGGTAAGCCACACAGGTGTCCAACCACATCTACCTGACCAAGCCCTCAGAAAACTCTGGGCGCCACAGCCTGGATGTAATACACCACGTGTACTGGCGAACACTTTGCTGGGAAGTCAGTGCTGCTCACGACTCCCCTGGGAGAATACAACTGGAAGCCTGTGCCGGAGACAGCCCTGGACTCTGCCCATGCATCTCCTCCCTTGGTTAACTATTCATTTCCACGGAATGAACTGTAACCATGAGTATAACAGCTTTCGGTGAGTTCTGAGAGGCTTTCCAGCTCATTACCAAGCCTCAGGGTATTCCTGGAGACCCCTGACTTGCTCTGCATATACACAGAAGTATTTGGAGATAAAGGGAGATGGAGTCTGTAAGTTACCCACAAATGGCTCAGGAAAAAAATGTTATGAATATACATACATTTACATGTATATACATCCTATATAATGAAGAGGTAATATGCAAATTGACCATCACTCCAACACACAAGATGGCCGGCAGGGGATGGCAGCTGTGGGTGATCAGGACTGCAGGGGAGTGGATAGGGGGTGATCAGGCTGGCAGGCAGAAGCGGTTAGGGGCAATCAGTCAGGCAGGCAGGCGAACAGTTGGGAGCCAGCAGTCTTGGATTGTGAAAGGGATGTCCAACTACCCGTTTAGGCCCGATCCCATCAGGATCGGGCCTGAATGGGTAGTTGGACATCCCTCCAGGGGTCCCAGATTGGAGAGGGTTCAGGTTGGGCTGAGGGACACCCTCCCACCCCCACACAAATTTCGTGCACCAGGCCTCTAGGAAACTATAAAAGAGAAAGAATCTGAGCATAAATGATAAAGCAAAGGTGTAAAATGTTATTTCAGGGGGATCTGAGTAAAAGCTAAATGGGTGTTCTTCTTCCATACATTTACTTTTGTAAATGTTCTGTAACTTTAAAGTTACTTACAAATACACTGTTAAAGCGAGAAACAAAATACCTCTGAAAAGTCCAGTTAATAAACAGTTACTGACATCCTGAGAAACAAAGAAGCTGGAGCAACTCACTAAGCTGATCTCATGACAAACCAATGGGGCAGGACCATATGTGCTCACTGTGATGTATTCAAGGGCAGACATATCTTGCCTTTGTCACACAGGGATTGTTAAGACTCCTAGATGCCCAGGCTCAGAGAATGCCTGCAGGAGTCCCAGAGCTTTTAACAGCTGAGCACATACAGACACTCAAGAGCAGAGGTCCTCAAACTTTTTAAACAGGGGCCAGTTCACTGTCCCTCAGACATTCTCTGGAGGGATGTCCAACTACCCGGGACGAGTCGGCTGCTAAGCAGGACAGCAGCGGCAGCAAAAACACCTGGCGGGCCAGATAAATGTTTTCGGCGGGCCGCATGTGGCCCGCGGGCCGCAGTTTGAGGACCCCTGCTCAAGAGGCTGACAGTGACTTTACAGAGGGCACCCATCCTCACCCAATGAGACCAGGTTCCGGAAGTTCTCCAGAGTCACGTCTCGGTACAGTTTCCTCTGAGACGGGTCCAGCAGCCCCAGCTCCTCCTCCGTGAAGACCACAGCCACATCCTTGAACGTCACTGGCTCCTACGACCCAAACACACACAGACTATGTTTATGGAAGAAGAGCAGCAATGAGAAAGTCTAAGTATGGGAAAGTGTTCTGGCTTCTGAGGCACCTGAGTCACATTTAAGGAGCTGCTTTCTATTTGCCTTCCACATGGCTAATCCCATCCATCAAAAGGGCTACAAGAAAAGAAATCCTAATACTTAAAATTGCTACCTTTTGGTAGCACACCTAGAGAGAAGTCCTTGAACTCTGCTGCATCACGAGCTAATATTTTATTTAGTCATTCATTTATTTTTAATTATTTTTTTAATCCTCACCTGAGAATACATTTTCCATTGATTTTTAGAGTGAAAGGGAGAGGGAGAGACAGAGAAACACCAATGTGAGAGAGACACATCAACTGGTTGCCTCCTCCATATCCCCAACCAGGGCCGGGAGCCTGCAACCAAGGCACGTGCCCTTGACCGGAATCTAACCCGGGACCCTTCAGTCTGCAGGCCACCGCTCTATCCACTGAGCCAAACCAGCTAGGGCCATGAGCTAATATTTGAAATTTTATCAATAATGTCACCTAATAATTGACATTATTACAGCTAAAAGTCCTAATAATCCCTGTGTGACAAAGGCAAAATGTTTCTGTCCTTTGAACTATAAATGAGCACATTGTGGTCCTGCCCCATTGGTTTATCATGAGATTACTTTAGTGAGTTGCTAATATTTAAAATTTAAATATTTTAAATCTATACTAGTAAAAGGGTAATATGCTAATTAGACCAGATGTTCTTCTGGACGTCCTTCCAGACAAAGCCACGGTGGTGGGGCCGAGGCAGAGGCAGTTAGGGGCCATCAGGCCAGCAGGAGAGAACAGGGGGGATCAGGCTGGCAGGAGAGAGTAGTTAGGGGGATCAGGCCGGCAGGCAGAGTGGTTAGAGCAGGCAGGCAGGTGAGCAGTTAGGAGCTAGCTGTCCTGGTTTGTGAGAGGGATGTCTGACTGCCAGTTTAGGTCCAATCCCACAGGGATCCCCCAGCAGTCGGATATCCCCCAAGGGATCCCGGATTGGAGAGGGTACAGGCTGGGCTGAGGGACACCCGCCCCATGCACAAATTTCGTACACTGGGCCTCTAGCTTTATCAATAATGCTCCAGAAAAGATTTAGTTCTCCCCTGTGTGATGAGTCTGTTTTCCCTTTTATACAAACACTCTACTTATTTGCTAACTTACAGGGCACCAGTCACCCTGATGGTTTAAGTATGTAGACCAAACTCTGTAGCCATCTGGAGTGTGCAGCGTTCATGGTGTGTGGCTCGGGCCCAGCTCTGCCTGTGTTCACACTGGAATGTGATGCTGGCTGTATGACCTCAGACAAGTTCCTCATGCGCTTCTCAAGCCTATACCTCGGGGCACTGTTAATAAAATGAGTGACTATAGGCAGAATACTTAGGAACAGTGTTTGGCACATAGTAAATACCCAAGAAGTATTAGCTATTATTGTGATTATTGTTATCATCATCTGTCATCCCATTTCAGGGCTGCATAGTCATTCAAGGAATTGATGATCTAGAATATTGATATATACAAATAATGCATGCTTACTTAGTGTTAGATTATCTATTATAGACAATTTGCAAAAAAAAAACAAACCCTTTCACAGAGAACTCAGTCCCTGGAAATCTGTTATCTCCTTAAAATAAGTTCCAAAAAGTAGAAATTGGTAATTTTGAAGAGTCATCTTTAACGTTTTAAAATCTTAACAGCAGGTTTTTCCTTTAAAAGGTTTTTCCAGCCCTGCTGGTTTGGCTCAGTGGATGGAGTGTCGGCCTGCGGACTGAAGGGTCCTGGGTTTGACTGCGGTCAGGGGCACATGCCCGTGTTGTGGGCTCGATCCCCAATAGGGATCATGCGGGAGGCAGCCGATCAATGATTTTTTTCTCATCGTTGATGTCTCTATCTCTCTCTCCCTCTCCCTTCTCTGAAAAAAAAAAAAAAAAAAAAAAAGGGTTTTCCAACTTATTCTTCTTCCAGAAAAGTGTAAATTCCTAAACCTCTGTATCCTGACCAACACTGGAAACGAATACTTAAAAAAAAAAAAAAAATCTTTGATAATATCAGAAGTAAATTTGGGAAGTAAAAAGCAGTCATTTCATGACATTTTCACAAAATTTATTAGTAATGAAGATCATTGTCTTTTCACTTATTTGCTGGTCATCTCTAGTTCTTGTTTTGTAATAATGCTAATTTGGGGGACATTAAGGCCTTTTTGTCCATGTTTGCTATAAATATTTTTCATTTTACTTTGCTATTTGTCTTGTAACTTTTTGCTATAGGGAAAGTTAAAGATTTGTTTTCTTTAATTTTCACTCAAGGGTGTTTTTATTGATTTTTGGAGAGTGGAACGGAGAGACAGGGAGAAAGAAACATCGATATGAGAAACAGCAATCGGTTGCCTTCCTATGTGCCCTGACCGGGAATCAAACCCGCAACCTTTTGGTGTGTCAGATGACGCTCCAAATAAATGAGCCACCTGGCCAGGGAAGGAAAGTTAAATTTTTTCAATAGAGACCTGTTCAATTCTGCATTTCTGGCTGGAGCTCCAAACATCACAAATTCAGGTCTTGGTCTCTGAATGAGAACTGTGGATGGTTTTAAAAGTTTCTGCTTCTCTTTTCACCAATTAGTATGTCTGATGTTCTTGATCCACAGGAGAACGGCTTTGGAGTGGGCCGGATGCTTGTCTTCTGTAAGAACCTGAGGAGGACCTGAACATACATGCACCTCTATGTTCATGATAATAGTACAGACGACTCTAAGTCCCCGTCAAAGCAGTGAGTAAAGTGTAGGTGGAAAGTACCTACATCCTCTAGCATGACTAAAGTTTTTAAATTAAGAACCTATATTACTCAAATAAAATAAACTAGTATATGAATGATGAAACACATTAAGGCATGCAAGCAGACGTACACATAGGGCCTCAGGTCCTGGGCGGAAAGGATCTAGCTAGCTCTTTTTGTATGAAAACATCTAACACTATTTTTTTCTGAGTTCAGCTTCATTCAGTATGATCCTGTGAGACAAAACCATTTTTAAGTATTCTTTTTACAAACTACCTCAGAGACAAAAAAAACACATGGTTTTTAGTTTTAAGTCCCTGGAACGAAGGACAAATTATATTAGAATTCTCTCAGAACTCAGAATTATTTTTTTAGCGAACATTATATGTAGAAAACTGATATTGCTGTGCAAAACTGCAAGAATCCTCGAGAACTTAAAAATTTGTGAATGGGAAATAGTTAAAGAGCGGGGGGTAGAACATTCATTGAAGTAATACTAGGTAACAAAAACTACGTGCTATAATTTTAACTGAAAATAAAAACCAATTCAAAATTGTATCTATTATTTCAAGTACAGTTATGAATGCACATAAAAAATGACCATGGGGGGTGGGGAGGGAGAAAAAGATGATTTGTAAGCAGGGTAATAGCTTGTTGGTTTTTCTTTTTTAAAAAAAATTTCTAGCCTCTTTTATGCTATTATTTGTGAAATAAAATGATTTAAAAAAAAATAAAAAAATTAAAAAAATAAATAAATAAATAAATAAAAATAAATAAAAAAACTAAAAGAAAAAAATTTCAAATGAAAGAAAAAGCATGCCTTACAAATGGTATTAAGTGTCTAGTGTCATTCCTTATACTGGTCGAGGAAGAGAAAAAAGGTATACACATACTGAGAAATGAAATAACATGTTAAGTGACAAATAAAAATGCCACTCACCTGGAACTTGGTCATTTTCTCCTTCTTTTCCTAGGGAAACTCTTCCCCCAGGCAGACGCTGCCACATACACCTTAGCAGGCAGAGTGTGTGCTGGATTCCAGCTACCATTAGGCTATTCGGAAGGACGCCTGAGTGCATGAGACAGCCTCCACGCCGTACCCAGAACTCCTCACACAACTTGTGGCTCCGGAGGTATTCTTCCTGATCCTGAGAAATGTGGGAAAGGAGAAGTGGAGGAATGTACTGGTTAAAAGTGGACTCTGGCCTGGCCGGTGTGGCTCAGTGGTAAAGTGTCAACCTGCAGACCAGGAAGTCACGATTCTATTCCGGTCAGGGCACCTGCCCAGGTTGTGAGCTTGATCCCCAGGGGCGGGCACGCAGGAGGCAGCCAATCAATGATTCTCTCTCATCATTGATGTCGATGTTTCTCTCTCTCTCTCTCTCTCTCTCTCTCTCTCTCTCTCTCTCTCTCTCTCCCTCTCTCTCTCTCCCTCTCCCTTCCTCTCTGAAGTCAATAAAAATATATTAATAAAAAAATTAAAAGTGGACTCTATTGCCCTAAGCCAGCATTTCCCAATGGTTAGAGTGTCAGCCCAAGAACTTAAGGGTCTCGGGTTCGATTCTGATCAAGGGCAAGTACCTGGGTTGCTGGTTCCCCTCCCCGGTTGGGGCACGTGCAGGAGACAACCACTTGATGTGGCTCTCTCACATGGATGTTTCTCTCTCCCCTCTCCCCAGCCCTCTGCCTTTCACTCTCTCTAAAATTAATGGGAAAAATATCCTCCAGTGAGGGTTAACAACAACAAAAAAAGTGGACTCTGTTGACAATTCCTTTTAAGATCTGACATTGTTATATATTGGCTGTACATATACTATATATTGACACTGTTATAGATATTTAAATACATGGCTAAATTAATAAGCCTCTCTATGCTTCATGTCTGTGATCCACAACATTAGGACAGTAGCACCGACATTATGATTGTTGTTAGGAATATATGCATGACGAGTGGAAAACATGCCAACGTTTCCTGTTATCTTGTAGCTGCAGAAAAGCAGATACTACTCTACATCATAAAACTGTCCTTGCAATTGTTCTTGTAAGACATCTAGGTGGCAGTGATTACGGCTTCTTACTTAATAATCTGGTTTGTGGCCTGAGTAATAACATATGTTTAAACACTAAGACCATCCTTTGAAAGGTTTAATGGCGGGTGAATATACTTCCTAAAGTGGGAGGAGGCTCAAATAGCACACCCTCTTCCCACAAGGATATCATGAAAGATTTAAAAAGCCCATGATGCTACTATATTTCTCATCTCTGAAAAGTGCTGGCTCAGCGCACAACTCATGGAAGGACTTGGAAACCAGGAGATAAATTTCTTGGGTTCTTCCTCAAAATAATTCACTGTTCTCAACAGATATTTACTATTGTTTACCTTATTTACTGTTCCCAGGCAATAATGACAAGGTCATCTGTGAAAAACAGAGAACTAAAAAAATGGGCTACGAATAAGGCAGAGCCTTTTATTTATTTTTATTATTTTTATTTTTTATTGATTTCAGAGAAGAGGGAGAGGGAGAGAGAGAAACATCAATAATGAGAGAGAATCCTGCATGCCCCACACTGGGGATCAAACCCGCAACCCGGGCATGTGTCCTGACTGGGAATCGAACCGTGACCTCCTGGTTCGTAGGTCGTCACTCAACTACTGAGCCACGCTGGCCAGGCAAGGCAGAGCCTTTTAGCCCCACTGTAGGAGGCTTTCTGCTTCTCTAGTAGAGTACCCACCCCCTCCCAGTCCCTGCCCACAAGGCCCTCCTATAGAAGCCACAAAATGTATGCATAACTACTAAGTATTAACTTGGCCACATAATTAGCAATGAGAGAGTTGTTTTCTTTCACTTACCCAACATTTATGGATCACCTTCTAAAAGGGCTATAAATCCCAGATCTTTATTTGCTCAGAGCCTAGGGTGAGAGAACAATTAGATAATTAGCAATTATCCCACACACTGAGAGATGACAGAGGAGAGTTTAAGTAGGGTCCTTAGGAGAACATGGAAGGGCCCTCAAACCCAGACTGGATAAGGGAGGGGGCTGGAATGGGCTCAATGGAGAAAATGTGGCTTGGTCTTAGCCCTGGAGGATGACAGAGCTGTACTAGCTACTAAGAGCTAATCAGAGCATGCCAACAGAATGCGGGTCAGAGGCACCTGGGGCAAATGAGGAAGCAGAAAGGTGGTGAGAAGTCAAGAGCCAAATCCTGTGCTTTAGAGGAATTGCCTCATTTAATCCTCACAACAACCCGAGAGATTGGGACAGTTTTTACAGCTAGGAATATCGGCAAAAAAGCTGAAGAGAAAATATATCTAATGGACATCACTAATCATTAGGGAAATGGACATTATAATGAAATACCAATACACACCTATTAGAATGTCTAAAATTAAAAAAGACAATAACTGCTGACAAAGATGTGGAGCAACTGGAACTCTCAAAAGTCATTACACGGTTGGCTGGTTCTTATAAAGTTAAACATACACTTTCCATATTACCCAGCAATCCCATTCCTGATTATGTATTTTGGGGAAATAAGCACAAAAACTTGTACACATATGTTTACAGCAGCCTATTCATAACTGCCAAAAAGTGGTTACAATGCAAATAGTCTTCAAAGGGGGAATGGATAAACTATTGTATGTCCATCTTACATAATAATCCTATATAATAAAAGGCTAATATGCAAATCGACCGAACGGCAGAATGACTAGTCTCTATGACGTGCATTTGACCATCAGGGGGAGACGCTCAACACAGGAGCTGCCCCTGGTGGTCATTGTGCTCCCACAGGGGGAGCTCTGCTCAGCCAGAAGCTGGGCTCACGGCTGGCGAGTGCAGTGGCGGTGGTGGGAGCCTCTGTGGCAGCGCTAAGGATGTCTGACTGCTGGCTTAGGCCTGCTCCCCATCAGTCAGACAACCCCCAAGGGCTCCCAGACTGCAAGAGGGCTCAGGCCGGGCTAAGGGGGACCCCACCCCCACCCCCAGTGCACGAATTTCGTGCACTGGGTCTCTAGTAATTACTCTATTAACCAGTAATAAAAATAAATGAGGTACTAATACATACAACTTGGATGAATTTCAAAGACATTCTACTGAAAGAATGCAGCCTCAACTGTGGAGAAAAGGGAACCCTAGTGCACTGCTGGTGGGAATGCAGACTGGTGCAGCCATTATGGAAAACAGAATGGAGTTTCCTCAAAAAATTCAATATGGAACTGCCATTTGACCCAGTGATCCCACTTCTAGGAATATATCCTAAGAAACCCGAAGCACCAATCAGAGAGAATGTATGCACCCCTATGTTCATAGCAGCACAATTTACAAAAGCTAAGATCTGGAAACAGCTCAAGTGCCCATCAGTAGATGAGTGGATAAAAAAGCTGTGGTGCATTTACACCATGGAATACTATGCAACAGTAAAAAAGAAGGATCTCTTAACCTTTGAGACAGCATGGAGGGACCTGGAGAGTATTATGCTAAGAGAAATAAGCCAGTCAGAGAAAGACAAGTATCACATGATCTCACTCATAAATGGAATCTAATGAACCAAATAAACTGATGATCAAAAATAGATTCAGAGTCATAGAAGCATGAACAGACTATTGAACCTCAGAGGGAAGGTAGGGGAGGGTGGGTGGGAAGAGATCAACCAAAGAACTTGTATACACCCATGGACACAAACAATAGGGTGGGGTAGGAATGAGTTTGAAGGGGTCAATGGGGGGAAAAAGAGGACATATATAATACTTTCAACAATAAAGATTTAATTAAAAAATAAATAAAACAACTCACCAGGAAAAAAAGAATGCAACCTCAAAAGGTTCTACCTGGCCTGGCCAGTGTGGCTCAGTTGGTTGAGCATCGTCCCATGAATCAGAAGGTCGCCAGTTCAATTCCAGATCAGGGCCCATGCCCAGGTTATGGGTTTGATCCCCAGTAGGAGGCGTGCAGGAGGCAGCGAATCCATGTTTCTCTCTCCTTCCTCTGAAATCAATAAAAAAAAAACATTAAAAAAAAAATGGTTCTGCCCAGCTGGTGTGACTCAGTGACTGAGTGGCGACCCATGAACCAAGAGGTTACCAGATTGATTCCTGGTCAGGGCCCATGTCCAGGTGGTGGGGTTGAGCCCCAGGGGAGGTGTGCAGGAGGCAGCCGATCGGTGTTTCTATCTCTCTATCCCTCTCCCTTCCCTTCGCTCTAAAAAAATTAATAATATATTTTAAAAAGTTTTTAAAGAATGTGATTGACAAAAACTGGGTGCTGTTTCCTTTAAAAAAAAAAAAGGTTCGGTCTGACATAAGTCCATTTACAAGACATTCTCAAAAAGACAAAACTCTATTATAGGGTTGCTGGTGGTTGGTTACAGGGTGGCGAGGGGTGATTATAAAGGAACAATAGGAGGGAAGTTGTGAGGGGTTATGGAACTGTTATGTATGCGATGCTGGTGGTAACTACATAAATCTGCAACTGTGTTAAAATTAATAGAATTTTTATATAAAACAAAAAAGAGTCAATTTTACTATACGATACTTGTTTTTTTAAAAATAACACCCTTTTTTTCACCTGTAGAATGAAGGCAAGATCAGGTTTTTCTGAGAAGTAAATTAATATCTGTAAACCTTTGGAAACACTGCCTCACTCATTAAACACAATGTTACTGTTAGCTGTTCTCATTTCTACCAATGTGGTTCTGATGAAATTGGTTTTAAATCATCAAAATAATTGCTCATGAACCTTTTAATTCTCTGAAATAGCTGGTGAATCCCATAGCTCATTAATATTATGGGAGATTAAGGAACATCTCCAAGGGTCATTTCTATTCTGCTTTGCCACTTAATTCCAGTTTCAGAAACTGAACTGCAAACCCCTCATGCCAGCTGCCTTGAGTACCTGCTCTAACTGCAAACCCTTTTTCTTGGTCTTGAATAGAAACAAGGTATGATAATCCATTTTTAACAATTATGGCAATAAATCAATCACTACCATACTCACTCAACGTTGGGGATTGCTTTAAAATACATGAAAATGTGGAGGGGAGGGGTTGATGCAAGACTGACATGTTAACAAGGGTTGAATTTGGGTGATGGCCCCACAGGGGTTCATCATTCTATTATTACATTTGGCTATGATTATAAATTTCCATAGTAAAAACTTAAAGGGAACTTAAAACCTATGATAACTATTTTGTAAAACTTAGGTAAAAATCCAAAAATAAATCTATGGAACAGGAAAACGTTAAAGGATTACTATTATCTCTGTATCCTGTGGTCCTGAATAATTAAGTCTTTTTCTTTATCCTTTGTCTGTTCTCTTAATTCTTTAGATTCTCAACCTGTGGGTCGCGACCATCGCAAAACACATACAGCATATCAGATATTTACATTACGGTTCATAACAGTAGCAACATTACAGTGATGAAGTAGCAACGAAAATAATTTTATGGTTGGGGGTCACCACAACATGAGGAACTGTATTAAAGGGTCGCGGCATTAGGAAGGTTGAGAACCACTGCTTTAGAATGTGCAATCATTTCTATAATCAGAATTTGAACTATAAATATTATTTCCAATGAAGTACAATTAAGTTGCAGATAACAAAAAAAAAATCTCATCAAACACTCAAAGCTCACGGACACAGCTTTCATGGCCCTCTACAAAAATCCAACACACGCCTTCTCAAGCAGATACTAAACACGCTAAGAGCGAAGACAATGGATGCAAACGGCCTCAATTCAAATCCCAGCCCCGTCTCACCGTGTGGTTTAGGACAAACACCTTATGCTCCAGTGTCTCCGTTTCCTCATCTTTCACAGAAGAACAGCAGCACCCTGACCCCCACTGGGCTCTTGTGAGGATGAAATGTTAATTCATATAAAACGCCTAGCATAGCCCTGGCCGGTTTGGCTCAGTGGATAGAGCGTCGGCCTGCGGACTGAAGGGTCCCGGGTTCGATTCCCGTCAAGGGCACATGCCCGGGCTGCAGACTCCATCCCCAGAGGGGGCGTGTGGGAGGCAGGCAGCTGATTCATGATTCTCTCTCATCATTGATGTTTCTCTCTCCCTCTCCCTTCCTCTCTGAAATCAATAAAAATATATTAACTCCTAGAATAATATCTTGCACTCAATGCTTAAACATTATCGTTATTACTCGTGCCAAGTACTCCCCATCCCTTCCCGCAGTATTCAACAAATAGCATGGCATCCTGGAGCCGAAAGTGAAGGCAAGTCTTCTCCCCTGAGAGAGAAAAGGAAGAAGCGCGCTCAGTCCCCCTCCTTGAGGCTCCTGCCTCCCGCCTGCAGCCTTTGGAGCGGGCCAGGCTGGACGCAAAGCGGCGGAGGGAAACGGGCACTTCATCAGCTCCCGGCACAGGGGCAGGGCCACCCCGGACCACAGCCAGGCGTGCCGCCCGCCAAGGATTAAAGCGAAAAGCGCCGTTGGAAATCCGGGTTCGGCCCGCGTCCTCCCGAGATCAGAGCGGGGCCCGGAGCGCCGCCCCGCCCGGGTTCACACGAGCTTCCAGGGGACTCGGCGCTTCTCCCGCAGCCACAGGCGCATCTGTCCCAGAGGACGGGCTTTCGGTCTTTCCCTTCCACACCCTCGTTTAACTCTCAGAATACCTTTAATAATAAGTGGACGCGCTCACCCCGACTTAAAGAGGAAACGCAGTCAGAGACATGACGATGCTCTCCCAACATTATTTCGCTGGGAAGCGGCAGCGCCGGTCGGTGGCCGGGAAACCGTTTGGCGCAACGGTTCTCAACCTGTGGGTCGCGACCCCTTTGGCGGTGGAACGACCCTGTCACAGGGGTCGCCTAAGACCATCCTGCGTATCAGATATTGACATGACGATTCATAACAGTAGCAACATGACAGTGATGAAGTAGCAACGAAAATAATGTTATGGTTGGGTCACAACATGAGGAGCTGTATTTAAAGGGCCAGAAGGTTGAGAACCACTTTGGGAAAGTACCGAACCCCGGAGGCCCTGCATCCCAGCGCCGAGCGACCGGGCTGGGCCTGAAGCGGGGATGCGCGAACCGCCCACAGTCCCGCAGGCTCATTCAAAGGGACCACCAGCCCGCCCTTCCCCGCAGGCGGGCACTCTTCCTCCGGGCGGACGGCCTGCTCGCCACTGGCCCGCGGCAACGCGAAGGAAGGACAGTGTGGGCGCGGGGAGAGGCCCCCGGGGAGGTGACGGCTCACCTTTCCGAGAGGAATGAAGGCCGCGGCCTCGAGTACCTGGGACGGAAGTGACTCTGCCTGCAGAGACCTCCTGGACTACGCTTCCCAGAATTCCCGATGGGAGCAGGAACTCAGCCTCAGCCTCCTGGAGCGGAAATTATCCAACTACACTGTTCCCAGACTACACTTCCCAGAATTCCCAGGCCATTTCGTCGCCTTCCAAGGGCTAACGTGCCGGCTGCTATACCAAGAGTCTGGGTTGTATTTCACAGTTTACGGATCCAGAACGAATTCCATGACCCCGCTTTCCTGGAGCCGAAATGCTTCCAAACATAGAGAGCTGTATTGTATTGTGTATGCATGCTTTAAAGGCGGCTGTTCGGGAGTGCGAGGGCCTCACCCTGTGGACTACACTTCCCAGTCTCCTGCGGGCAGCCCTTTCCGCCGAGCTGCCTTTGTTCTTTGGCGCAGTATTTGGGTAGTCACAACTCTCTTTAGGAAAATCAGTCTGAATTCTATACTGTTAGGTGGGCGTGGTCACCTTCTCCTTTTTTTTCTCGAAAAAAAGTTTTTTCTGCAAACTTGACGGAGGTGAGGGCGAGATGGAGGTTTAGCTCCAACAAGATTAGCAAATATTGACGAGGGTAAAAGCTTGGTGATGGTTCTATGGAATGTTATCCTATTCTTAGAGCATTTGACCATACTAGTAAATTTCCAAAGTGAAAAAGAAAAAGAGGGGGGGAAATATGACATCTTTTAAAAATACATGTATTTTTATTGATTTCAGAGAGGAAAGGAGAGGGAGAAATAGAAACATCAATGAGTGTCATTGATCGGCTGCCTCCTGCATGCCCGCTACTGGGGATTGAGCCCGCACATGTGACCTCTTGGTTCATAGGTCCAAGTGACACCAGCTGGGCATGACACCTGTTTTGTAAAATGTAGGTAAATAAACATAAAAACCGGGGGGGGGGGGAACCATATTAAAATTCATATCCTGGGAATATAAATAATTCAAAATTTCTTCAAATTTCATATAGTCTCAATAATCAAAATATCAACTAAGTATTACTTGAAATAAAATACAATTAAATAATGAAAGATGCCTTTAAAAGCTTATTCACACCTTGCTGACCAGCTATTTCAAGCCAGACCTCGCCCGTGCAGCCAGCTACTTTTCTTTTCATAGTTTGGCAACCCACGGTTCTCCCCTATTGTTCCACAGACCAGTGTTTTGTTCTTCAGTAATAGTTCAGCTGTAGGAACGCTAGTAATATCTTGGTAACTAGGATGCCAAGTGCCACCTAACCTAACACCAAGAACCAAGAAAAGGCCCTAAGACAGATAATATAGTCTGTTGTAACTTTTTGCCTTCACCCCGTATATATCTTTTTTTAAAAAAAATATATTTTATTGATTTTTTACAGACAGGAAGGGAGAAAGAGAGCTAGAAACATCGATGAGAGAGAAACATCGATCAGCTGCCTCCTGCACATCTCCTACTGGGGATGTGCCCGCAACCCAGGTACATACCCTTGACCGGAATCGAACCCGGGACCCTTCAGTCCGCAGGCCGACGCTCTATCCACTGAGCCAAACCGGTTTTGGCCACCCCTTATATATCTTGAAGTTGCAAACATAGCCACTCTCACTTTCACAAAGCATCTTTACTAAAATACCATATTTTATTATTTTTGCCAGATTATACATCTTGAATCTGATGCATCCTCTCCATGGAATCATTGCTTCATCGAGTGATAGCTGCTGCTTTGATGTATATATAGAGATTTAAATTTCGAGGTAAAGTAATACAAAAGAGGTCTGATGATCTATGTTACATGTTGTTCCTGAATTATCTTTCAGGTGAAAGAATGTATTTGCTTGAACCTCTTTTCAGTCTCAGTTTTTGGAAACATGGGTGATTCGAGTAAAGGATTGGCAGTCTTTCCATTCTGGCTTCTTCGTTAGTTCCATCAATATAGTTAAACCAAGAAACTTCTATATAACCATGTAAGTGACATCCGTCCATGGTGAAGTTTTAGCAGAGGTTTCGTGGTATTTTTCCATTTGGTGATGCTATAAATTGGTTTGAAAAGTAAGGAGATAAAAAAAATCCTTATCGCCAAAACCGGTTTGGCTCAATGGATAGAGCGTCGGCCTGCAGACTGAAGGGTCCCAGGTTCGATTCCGGTCAAGGGCATGTACCAGGGTTGCTGGCACATCCCCAGTGGGAGATGTGCAGGAGGCAGCTGATTGATGTTTCTCTCTCATCGATGTTTCTAACTCTCTCTCTCTCTCTCTTCCTCTCTGTAAAAAATCAATAAAATATATATTTTTTAAAAAATCCTTATCGAAAAATAAATTGGTTACTTCACTTATACTTTGGGCCTTCAACCTGAAGATATGCCTGAAATATTTGTATAATCCTCCAAGGCTGGCAAAATGTCTTTTTCTGCCAAGCCTTCTTCAGAATCACTTGCACTGTCAGATACTATCACATTTCTCTTTTGCCTTCATGATGGTTTAATGTCATTACTGTCTTCCGACAAAATACTGTCTTCCAGCTGACTACCAAAGTCACTCGGCCAATCAGACAAAGTGTCTGCACATAATTCGCTCATTCTTCTCTGTCAGGACAGGTCTTTTTAAAAAACGTTTGCCAGAATAGAAGATGGATGGAAAGAATTAGATATATTGCTCGTCACGTCTCTGGAAATACTGACTGACAAGTTGAAGAAAAGACATGCACAACAGAAAGAAAAACTAGGAATGGCCGAAATAAGTGCTGAGCAGTGAAGTGGCTTGTATCTCGCACTTCTTCTAATCTGAGCCTAAACAAAGATAACTAAGAACACAGTCTAGAGCGCTCTTTTAAAACTCTACATTGCTTTCAGACTTTAAAATTACTTACATTAATGTTGTAAGTAATGTGAGTGGAAAGAAGAGTTAACTCATGACTGGTCAGCAAGGTGTTAACAGCCCAACTGGTGTGGCTCACTGGTTGAGCATCGACCTATGAACCAGGAGTTCATTGTTCAATGCCCCATCAGGGCACATGCCCGGGTTGCAGGCTCTATCCCCAGTAGGGGCTGTGCAGAAGGCAGCCGATCAATGATTCTCTCTCATCATTGATGTTTCTATCTCTCTCTCCCTCTCCGTTCCTCTCTGAAATCAATAAAAAAAAATATTTATTTTAAAAGCTTATTAGCATAGCTTTCATAGTCCTTAACAAACTATTCCTTCCAAACCTGACAACAAACAGATTAAGGAATAAGGGTAGAGACTGAGAATAGCTCGGTTCAGTTCTCAACTCAGCTTCTTAGTAGTTGGATGACCTCGGTTAGGGAACTTTTGCTCTGCGTCTCAATTTCCTCCTCTTTAAATGAGTAAATAACTTCATTAGGCTATTATGAGGATTAAATGATTTCTAGAAAGCCCGTCAAATAGTACTACTTAGCACTACATATTAACTATCATTATTATGCCCAAGTATTCCTCCCACCCACTCCCACATTTATTCAACAAACTTTTGAACACGTAGCAGTGGGGTGGGCAACATCTGCTCACAGGCTGAATAAGTCCACAAAATCACTGGTCTGGCCCTGCCAAGGCACTAGGGATGACTTAAGTAAATATTTGACCAAATATAGCAGGCTAATTTTTAAGTTGATAATTTTGTATGGCCCTTGAATAATATTATAAACTAGAGGCCCAGTGCATGAAATTTGTGCACTTGGGGAGGGGTCCCTCAGCCTGGCCTGTGCCCTCTTGCAGTCCAGGACCCCTCGGGGGAAGTCCACCTGCTGGCTTAGGTCTGGGAGCGGGCCTAAGCCAGCAGTCAGACATCCCTCTTGCAGTCTGGGACCCCTCGCTCCTTACCGCCTGCCTGTTCGCTGCTCCTTACTGCTCGGCTTGCTGCTCCTTAGTGCTGCTGTGGAGGCAGGAGGGGCTCCCGCCACGGCTGCTGCGCTCGCCAGCCGTGAGCCCAGCTTCTGGCTGAGTGGCGCTCCCCGTGTGGGAACGCACTGACCACCAGGGGGCAGCTCCTGCATTGAGCATCTGCCCCCTGATGGTTAATGCACATCATAGCAACCGGTCGTTCTGGTTGTTTTGCTTTAATGGTCACTTAGGCTTTTATCATATAGACTAGAGGCCCAGTGCATGAAACTCGTGCACTGTGGGGAGGTGTGTCCCTCAGCCCAGCCTGTACCCTCTCCAATCTGGGATCCCTCTCATAATCCGTGACTGCTGGCTCCCAACTGTTCACCTGCCTGCCTGCCTGATTGCCCCTAACCGTTTCTGCCTGCCAGCTTGATCACCCCCTAACCCAGCCGTGGGCAAACTACAGCCCATGGGCCAGATCCAGCCCGTTTGAAATGAATAAAACTAAAAAAAAAAAAGACCGTACCCTTTTATGCAATGATGTTTACTTTGAATTTATATTAGTTCATCCAAACACTCCATCCATGCTTTTGTTCCAGCCCTCCGGTCCAGTTTAAGAACCCATTGTGGCCCTCGAGTCAAAAGTTTGCCCACCCCTGCCCTAACCACTCCCCTGCTGGCCTGATCGACGCCTAACTGCTCCCCGGCCAACCCGATTGCCCCAAACTGCCCTCCCCTGCTGGCCCAGTCGCCCCCAACTGCCCTCTCCTGCAGGCCTGGTCACCCCTAACTTCCCTCCCCTGGAGGCCTGGTTGCCCCCAACTGCCCTACCCTGTAGGTCTGGTCCCCCCAATTACCCTCCCTGCAGGCCTGGTCGCCCCCAACTGCCCTCCCCTGCAGGCCTGGTCGCCCCCAACTGCCCTCCCCTGCAGGCCTGGTCGCCCCCAACTGCCCTCCCCTGCAGGCCTGGTCGCCTCCAACCGCCCTCCCCTGCAGGCCTGGTTGCCCCCAACTGCCCTCCTCTGCAGGTCTGGTTCCTCCCAACTGCCCTCCCCTGCTGGCCTGATCACCCACAACTGCCCTCCCCTGCCGGCCATCTTGTGGTGGCCATCTTTGACCACATGGGGGCAGCCATCTTGTGCGAGGGTGTGATGGTCAATTTGCATATTACATCTTTATTATATAGGATATCCAAATGGTCCTTGGCA